TTAATGTTTCATCCAGTACTTAAATCTATTTTTTTGGGGTTAGTCCTCAAAATCTCATACATCTCAGTGCATTTCTCAAACGATGTCCAATTACTGACATACAAATAAGTTATGTTAATGATAATGATGATTACTGTCTGATTTACTGAAATCAATATTAATTTCGCAGTAAAAGATTATAGAGGTTAGACCACTGTTGAAAACCTAGGAGCATTAAACGACCCATTTCATAGTTCCTGCTTGCTGGGTTGTGGACGCACACTACTGAATTATCTCATTCTATGAACGAAACGACCATCCAGTGATTCTAGGTTATCAATAGTAATCTAACTTTGATCGATTCATGATTTCAATGAAATAATAATTTCGTCAAAATGAGGATTTATGGAAATTGCAGTTATTTAGTGGTTGAATTCATGAGTCAATCAAAGTTAAACCACTCTGAAGAGTCTAAAGGCACTGAAAGGCCGTTTCATCATAGTGTACAATTTCTCAGTAGTATACATCCACGATTCCACGTGCAAGATTGAAGATCTTGGGTTCGAACATCCCGTTCGGAATTTCAATGAAATCATAATTTTGTCCAAACCGCTAATATGAATCTATAATGAAAAACGAACTCTAGACATTAGAATAAATAAATAAATGAATAAGTCAACTGAAGCCAAACTACTATGGAAACCTGAAGGCAAATGAACGATCGTTTCATCCTATTGTGGGACTCCTCAATGACAGTGAGCATCCACGATCCCGCTTCAATCATTCTAACCCAAAATCTATCGAACTGACAGACGAACGCTTAATATCTAGACCACTGAGCTGGTTGGCATCCAACAATGTTAATGTTTAACTTCAACTAATCCACAGAATTGAGCTTCAATTCGTTACTTTTTCACAACACACCTAGTTGAAGTCTACTGATCACTACTATAGTAAATCAAATGATTTGATTCATTGTTATTATAAACTTGATTCTAATATGAATCTATAATGAAAGCAGATTGTAGACATTAGAATAATTAAATCAGTTTTATAGACAAATGAATTAACCAATCATTAAATTGTTCTGAATGACTATCATTCTATTCTATGTACTTAATCACATTTAAGTATATGGATAAACGTTTGACAAACTATTAAGATTGATGCATTAAGATTTAGATCTATTTACGGATTGTATCAACATAAAACTAATCAAAGTAATACCAACATCTTATTCATAACAAATGACTAATACAATTCAAAATGTATCATTATGTGTTGATAATATACAGTTCCCTTCAATGATATCGGAATTATCATGGATGAATCAATCGGATTTATGTTCAGGAATAACAACTATGAAGATGACGGAGACAACAGAAATAGCGATGACAACAACGACGACGACGACGACAACAACAACAACAACAACAACGTCATCATCGTCAACTTCATCTACATCTTGTAGTGATTATCATTTTGATGGATCACATCATTTACATATGTTATTTCAATATCCTCATAAATATATAGGAAAAATTCCAAAAAATATACCTAAATTAAAAACAGAATCAAGAATCAGGTAAACACATATATACTAAGATGGTGTAAAAAAGTTTTTTTGTTTTTGTTTAATTCATTTTGGATTTTCTATGTGGAGTTTCATTCTTTGAATTGAATAGTTTGGTGTTGTGAAGCTATCATTGTGAAGAAATTCTACCTGATGTTTGTGGTGATGATGTGATCAAAGCTCTACACCTAGACTATCTAACTTAGAGAAAGAAACTCCACCAAAAAAAACACACACACATCTACATTAGATTATTCGAGGATTGGTTAAGGTTAGATTTTAACACCGTTGGATACTGGCCCGGCTCAGAGACTGAAGGCCCTGAGTTCGAATCTCGCGAGTCGGGGTCGTGGATGTACATTGTCGCTGAGGAATCTCACAGTAGGACGAAACGGCTGTTCAGTACTTCCAGGTTATCAATGGTGGTCTAACATCAATCAGTTCATGATCTTAATCATAAACTTAACCATTTCCACAACCCTATACTGTTAGATTGTTCAGTTCAAATAATCAATCGATTTGGAATGAAAACTTTGGTAAAAGTTTGAAATGTCAATCGATTAATCAGTTGTTATGGTTTCGACTATTATTTAGAATAATAGAAGATAAGTCATCCAAAATTGTGAATTCTATGAATGGTTGTTTTAATAAAAGAGAACAGTAACTCGGTTGAACAAATTTTTTGATATTTCTGGGTATAATCGCAGTTGTTTAGAGGGAACATCGATTTCCGAAAGCATATAGGTATACCGTATTGTTAAATAGTGACAGATTATGAGATTTAATTTATGCTTACCATATCATCTATCACTCATCACTTCAATAACTTATCATGTTTAGGGATTTATGATTCATATTAAAGTTTATTGGAATCATGAACCAATCTAAGTATGAGAACTATTTAAAGTCTGGAGACACTGAAAAGCCGTTTCGTTCTAATATGAGACTACTAAACAGTAAGCAATCACGACCCTGAATGCAGGAATCAAATCCAGGACCTTTAAATTCATGAACAAACTCTTAACCTATAAACCCCTTAGTCGTTATCCAATGGTTTACAAGTATAACTTCAGTTAATCTACAATTTTGTGCAATAATTTACCATTGCTTTCGGTGGTCATATTACTCACATGCAACTCGATTGAACCAACTAGTCATGGCTTGCCACTAGAACTTAAGGAATTTCCCTCCAAAGTTAGTCGCTAGTGTAAATATGATAACTGTTGTATGCGGAATGATGAAAACTGACCTATAATTAAATGTCTTTTTTAACGAATTGTCGTCATTTGACATAAATTACTTATTTCTGACTAGCGTTTTTTTAGCGAGATAGTTTTCTACAGAGTTGAGTCACTAACCCCATACCCAACCCTCCTCCTTTATCCGGGATTTGAACCGGCAGTAGACCCAGAGGGGCTGCAGGTGGAGTTGTGACATAAATTCCTCACAAAATATATCAAATTCTATGGATATTTATTTATAATTAAATTCAAAGGATAAATAAATTTTGGAATGAAGAAATAAAATCTAATGATTGATCAGTTTTGATATATCTTGACAAGTACTGCCGGATTGGGTGGTACCTTTGTATGACATTAAGAATTGACTGAACACTTATTTTGGAATACTCTCTAGATGGGATATCTTCAGCTTATTCGGAGATTCTTAGAACTTCCTCAAGTTCACCTATAGGCTGTCATTACAAGTTTACTTCTGATCAAACAGTAATTCATTATGCTAAACATTGTGAATAGAAGTTAAAACATTCCTTTATTTCTAGTTTCAAAGATGATACTTGGTGATACATGATTCATAAACATTTTCATAGATTTTCAGTTCTTATATAATGATGATTTGAATGATTTACAAGTGTGCATCTGTTATAAGTTGCAGTATACTCGAAACATTCAAGTGGTTACAAGAGAGGTTTCAACTAACAAGATGTTTATATTGAATGCATTCTATGAATGAAGTTAAATAGCCTGTGTAATAGATTGACTTATTATCAGTGAAAGAAATAAGATTTTTACGTAATTACCTCGTCACCCCGTCCTATTATGGAACTCTTCAAACAGTATACATACACGATCCCGCTCGTAGGACTCGAGCCCAGGGTCTTAGAATTACGTTTATTAACAGCTGACACTTTGTAATGAAGATGATCTTCACTCACTCACTCACTCACTCACTCACTCACTCACTCACTCACTCACTCACTCACTCACTCACTCACTCACTCACTCACTCACTCACTCACTCACTCACTCACTCACTCACTCACTCACTCACTCACTCACTCACTCACTCACTCACTCACTCACTCACTCACTCACTCACTCACTCACTCACTCACTCACTCACTCACTCACTCACTCACTCACTCACTCACTCACTCACTCACTCACTCACTCACTCACTCACTCACTCACTCACTCACTCACTCACTCACTCACTCACTCACTCACTCACTCACTCACTCACTCACTCACTCACTCACTCACTCACTCACTCACTCACTCACTCACTCACTCACTCACTCACTCACTCACTCATTCACTCATTCACTTACTTACTTACGCCCATTATCCCCAATGGAACATAGGCTGGCGACAATCATTTTCCAGTCCACTCTGTCCTAGGCCTTCCTTTCTAACTCCATCCAATTCCTGTTCATTCTTCTCATGTCTGTCTCCATTTCTCAGCGTACTGTGTTCTTTGGTCTTCTTCTTCTACTTTGGCTTTGAGGATTCTAAGTAAGGGCTTGCCTTGTGACTGATATTGTTAAACTATCCATACAAAGTAATTCTGAAATCAATTTAAATAAATAAATCATTAGGGTGGATAGTACACACATCCTACTTCATTCGTAAAGAACTAAGAATTTGGAATGAAATGAAAATTCATGATTTTTACATTTTTAGTCTTCCTATTCTCAGTTTGCTTTCATCGAGTTCATTGCAACTAATAACATGCCGATAGAGATGTTTGTTGTGGGTAATCTTACTTTTTTAAAAAGTTTACTTATCAAGTTCGATTGATAGTTGGTTAACAAACTTCCTTATATTTATACATATAATTATTAGTGTGTTGCATACTATTGATGTCGACAATATAAGTAGTATGTATCACCCGTCAATTGAAAGTGAAATGCTTGATAGCAAAAGATTAAGAAGATCGAAGAAAAGAGAAGGAGAACAGTGAATGGTTTCTATGTAAACGAATGAACAGTAAAGTCTGAAACGATTGATTAACGTTTTGCAAATTCTGTGTTTATCGTATGATTCTCAGATTTTACTAAGTTACTCTGTAATTTTGTATCCCCACTTGTGTTCTCGTTCACTACAATAGTAGACAACAGTGGATCTATCCTTAAAGTTATACACTTAATTACTTTCCCTCGAAAAATGCCAAGCGATTGCATGTAGTCAATGAATTTCAAAATCCTACTATGTATAGTTGTAAAGATTGTTGAATTTCACAGTTTACATTATAAACCGATCTTATCTAAACAACTATAAGAATCCAGTAGGAATCAACCTTTGTTGATGATATTTGTGCATTATTGCGGATTAAGAGGACCACCTAGTGGTTCAAATGCTAATGGTTTATCTTTGTAGCACTTGTAATCGTTTATGGGTATCGGTCTAGTAGTTGATTAATCCGATCTCTACGACCCAGTTTACCGCTCACGTTAGTCCATAGGGCAAGTTCTACTATCCAGGAGGCACAACGAGGACGGTGGGTCTAGCTTTACCCAATTTATTCAGTTCTATATCCTACAACGACAGAGTTATCCATTACTTCTTGATATTCAATGATAATCTTATTAAAATCAATTCTCAATGTCAAATCTACATTATTTGTTTATCTTTTCTTTATTATTCATATTCAGACTTAAAATATCATCAAATACAATCCAATAATGATTTACGTATAAAACTTGAACGTGAATTATCTCAAAAAGTACGTCAAGCTGTAAAAACTCCACCACGTGAACGTATTATTCGTAGACGTTTAAATGAATTTCATTATGAAATAAATAAACGTTTAAAAAATGAAGAAAAGAAAAAACAACTTGTTATACAAATGAATGATAAATTAAATTTCAATATAACAACAAATACTACTAATACAAATATAAGTAGTTTAAATAATATGAATAATATAAATGTAATGGATTTACGTATGCATCCAGAATCATATAATCAACATTTAAATTGGTCTAAAAAATCTAATATAAACATGAATAGTCAAAGTATATTATGGAATAAAAAATCTGGATTATCAAAGAAAGAGATAAACAATTTAACATTTGTACCTGTTACCGAAAATAATCATGAAAATAGTTACTATGATAATCAAATTTCTTTAGATAGTAATGAAGTGCATAAGAATGAAGTAAGTAAGAAAGCTCCTTTTTTCTAAAAAAAGATAATTTTATAGATGTATTGATGATTCAATTGAAGTTAGATCATCATGATAAACCTGGAAGTAACTGGACGGTTGTTTCGTTCTAGTATGGGACTACTCAATAGTGCGCATCCATGATCCCGCTCATGGGATTCAAACCCTAAGACCTTAAGTCTCACAGGCGAACACTTAACCTCTAGATCACTGAGCCAGCCGGTATCCAACGATGTTAATGTCTAACCACAACCAATCAACAGATTGTGAATGCGCATTTCCACTGAGGAGTCCCACAATAGGACGAAACAGTTGTTCAGTGCTTTCAGATTTTCAGTGGTTGTCTAACATCAATTGGTTCATTGTTGATAATTCATTGAAATGAATCGCTCTTCTTTTTTTTTTCTTTCCTCATAGGATACATCTGATAGTAATCAATCATCATTATACTACTTAAATAACAATTCTATTAAATCCTATTTACATAATCATCATTCGTTTAATAAACCACTCAATAATGATTCATTTATTAATTGTATATCAAATAATACTACTTATTCAAAATATCTAATACATAAATTACATAATTATAAAAATACCATTGTAAACTTAAAACAATCCTTATTACCTATTTCATCCATTCATCATCCATCAACTTTTAATTATTTAGAATATAATGATGAATATGATCAATTATTAAATGATACATTTACATTTGATTGGAATATAAATGAATCAATTGTTGATCGGGATCAATCTATTAATAATGATCATAATGATGATCATCATGATGATGATGATGATCTGGATCATACTATAACTAATCATATACATAATTATTATCAAATGAGATCTAGTTATTTAACTAATGAAGATATACAATTAATACATAAATATTATGAGAAATTATATAAGAATAAAAAGATATTAGATAAAATGAATAGAAATTTGGTAAAGAATCATTTATGTACACGTCAATCGATTATGGAAAAATTTGAACGATTAACTGATGGTGAAAAACAAGTAATATGATTGTTATTTTATAGTTGAATTCATGAATTGATTGAAGTTAGATTACCATGAAAAAAAAACAACCTGGAAGTAAATGGATGACTGTTTTGTTCTATTGTGGGACTCCTCAGTGGCAATACGCATCCATGATCCCGCCTCACGAGATTCGCATGTGAGCGCTTAGCTGTGGATGTGCACTGTTGAGAATCCCACATTAGGACGAAATAACTGTCTAGTGCTTTCAGGTTTTCCATAGTGGTCTAGCTTCAATTGACTCATGATCTCAACTATTAAAATTACTAAAATCTCCACAAAACACCTTTTGATAAAAATTGATATTTTTAGATGTGTGTATGTGGGTGGGGGGGGTGTTTTGTGAAAACTTCCAGTAATTTTTTTAGTTAAATTCATAAGTTTATTAAAGTTATATTACTGGTAAAACGTTTTTACGCGAGAGACAGATAGATTCTGGGTTAGAATCCTATAGATGGTATTGTAGATGTGTATCTCTGAGGAGTCCCATATTAGGATAAAGCGACAGTTTGGTGCTTATGGGTTTTCCATAATGGTCTACCTTTAATGGACTCACGAATTCAATTATTAAATCAATAAAATCTCCTCAAAACCCCCCTTTTTGATAATAATCATCATCTACTCGCGAGTGACTGGCTTCAAGAGGTATTTCATGAAGTTCTGGTGACAATCCGTGACCAGTAAAGTTCAATAGGGTTTGTTGTGAGATAGTAACACACTGAAGACAATGGTGGACGGTGGTGTAATTTATATTTGTTTATTCTTACTTAGCATATATGTATTTTTTATTGGAACCTTACACCGATAATAGTTAATAATCAATGAGTTTTATTAGGGAATATAATGTGGAGGGCGCCAATCGGAAATAACCTGATGAAAAGGTCAACTTACAACTGATTGATCACTGGATGGCGATTAATGGCATGTATATAAGGTCCTTCTTAGTGTAAATCAAATCCTATCGACCAAGTTGCAATGTGGCTACTAGTCTAGGTGACTTGACATTGGGTACACTATTTTAAGATAAAATGGTGGTTGGAGGTAGTCAACAAGAAACCCTGAACCTGGGTCTCGTGCTACGTGGCACTCGTCAGCAATATGTTCCTGTAATTATGAGGGAAATGATACTCCCTGACGAATTCAATCCCGTGTCACTCACTTTCACAGTCAGAGACGTTACCATTGAGCTATCCGGGCTGCGACTAACCTCCTGTAGGACTGGAATGAATTTACAATTCATTGATAACTGGGTGCCGATCAATGTCATGTATGTCAGCCCCTTGATTACAATCAGAATTAACCTAATGATAACTGTATTTCATTGACTAGGATCAGAGTGATATACATAAAAACGAGTACCTGTACATTTTATTCGGTAGTTCAATACACTTTCCCTGTCACTCAAGTATTCAGTTAACAAGGGGGGTGGTGCTTAGCACATCATGTATCAGATTTCGGATACCGCCTGTCACAACAAGATGTTTATTTATTGTTCAACATAGAGCATTGAATGAAACTAATAAGATTTTGATTTCATAATAATTATCCGATCATTATCTATTCCATTACACATAAGCTTGAATGTTTTTATATAATCTAAAATTGATCAAAGACATAGAAATAACATTAAATGATTGACAGTTTTAATGATACTTAAAACCACTAATAACTTTAAGAATATCTATAGCTGAGAGTTAGATATTTGAATATTATTAGTTTGGTATTTATAACTTCCAGTAATATTTTATTCAGATAGAATAGTTTACATAATGAGCAAAGATGGATAGTGGCTAGCAATAGAATCCAAGACACGCGTCAGCTGGATGCACTCGCATCTCAGAGTTAACTTAAACTTCACCCGATTGGACAAGCAAGTGGTTATCGGGAATCAGTAACTAAGTGGATAACTCGATGGAGTTTGAAGCGAATAGTATTGAGTTCGAGTCCCAGAGTGAACATCGACTCAGATACAGGTATATTCGGCTGATGAGTCTCGATGAGGAAGAAATGCGCTTTCTGAACTTCAACGCTAGCCACTATCCATCTTTTTTATAATATTTGTGAATTAAGGCAATGTCGAGGCAATACTCACAGTATGCACATATACCAATAAGAGATTGATCAACTGCAGTGCTAAACATTGATGGGAAGATTCAAGTAAACAATACCAAGTGAGTTTACATAATATATTTAATTTAATTTATGATGGTTAGGATTGTTGCGTTGTTAAGTGACTATCTGTGAATTAGTAGCTAAGTGGTTAAAGTGTTGGTGTTTGAAGCGGGAGGTATTGGGTTCAAATCCCTGAGTTGTAGGTACATCTAAATGACGAGGTCCAAATAAGGCAAAACACAAGTTCTGTATTTCAATGTTGGACACGAAATCGACTGCTTCTAAAACGAAAGTAAAGCATTTAGACTATCTTGGATAACTTCTAATCCAATTAGATGTGTTTTTTTGGTTATGACATCCGTTAACTAAGAGTAATATGAATAATAAACCTTTATGTATAAATTATTACGGTTTTTATCACGAAATAACATCAGATATAGTGCTCTCAAATGCCCACGTGTATACACCCACCGATAGGGAAGTCCTACTCACTACCTTCTCGCAACATTATTGTTATTTACAAAGTTGAGAAGACGAAAAGCAAATATCCTGCGCTTTAACCGGTTTGGCAAATATAGAGGATCCACCTACCTGTAATCTTGGTGATCTGTCTGTCGTGGTGTAATAATAAACTTAATCAACATTTCGTATTCACCTCCCAACTAATACACCGTTGAGGTGTTATCTAGTGACTTATATCAGGATGAATAGTATACGAAGTTTAAAGATTATATTGGTATATCGACCACCACACATTCCAATAACTGTCTTAGTAACTTAATAACGAAATCTCATCTTTGGTTGTTTTTTTTTGTTGGTTTCCATGATATTCAACTTTAATCTTAAATGAGTTGTACTTCTTTACTTTCATTTAAAACGTTTATTATCTTTGTAATGGTAAGATGAAATTTCAAAAGTACAATTGAAGTACTCAATGAACTATTGAACACAGTAAGGGGTTTAGAAAGGTTACACAAGTTTATAAATAAGTAGACTTTAATTCAGATCAATGTGTAAATGTAAGGTGATTCAAATATGAACTCAATATGAATAGGTCAGATGCTTTTTTTGATGAGAGGCGGGGGAGTTAATTTCAATATTAGATGAGAACTTTCACTTTACTATTTGTGTAGTAAATGAGAACACAAGAGGGGACAATCAAATGTATTTGAATACAAAGTTACAGAATCTCTAAGTAAAATCTGAGAACTATACAGTAAACAAAGATGGATAGTGATTAGCAATGGGATCCAGTAAGGCGCGTGTTTTGTCCTATTTAGGACGAGTCAGCTGGATGTACCTGTATCTTAGAGTTGATGTTCACTCTGGGACTCGAACCCAGTGCCGTTCACTTCAAATGACATCGTATTATCCACTTAGCTACTGAGTCCCGATATCCACTTGCTTGTGCAATGAGGTGAAGTTTTAAATTCACTTGGTATTCTTTACTTGTACCTTCTTATACAGTAAAGAATTCATTTGCAAAATACCCATTAATTGTCTCGGACTTTGTTGTTTCTTCGTCTTCACACCAATCACTCTCTGTTCTCGTTCTATTTTCTTCGAATTTCTTAATCTTCTGCCGTCAGACATTTTTGCTTTCGATTAATGGGTGATACGTACTACTTATATCTGTCGACACCAGTAGAACATACCACATTTGTAAATGATTTGTTCGAATGACTGAATTTGTTATATCCCGATAAGCATAATGAATGGTAACTTTTGGGATCCATTTATGGATCAATACTATACGTATACTTTTATCGTATAATTGTTAAGTAACTAAACTATTCATATTCGTGTTCTTCGTATTACAAGCTTTATTTTGACCTATGAACTATTATTATACCATTTACCATTCTTGAATTATGCCCTGTCTATCAATTACTATCTCCCTTATTCACAGCCACCTTTGGCTAATTCTTGTACATATGTTGTTTCCTATTGAGATGGTGGTTGTTTCCTATTTTATGGTACGATTTGGTCTGTTTGGTCGGCATATAAACCCAGTATATTTGAAATAAATGATTCATATCGCAGAGGCCGAGATTGGTGTTCTGGACTTAACTGGTTGGGAGAGACAGGAAGCAGGACCGATAAGGACTCGAGACTGCTCGTATGGGGCTTTATACATCATTGGTCCGATCGATAATTCACTGCTCTCTAATTGGGGCGATATCATTACGTTATACATTAGTAGGACACAGAGCACAAATTATAACACAATTCGATACTCGAAACCAGTTAGAAAATTTTATTCTAATTAGGTATATGACTTGACTTTTGTATGAATGAAATACACGTATTCATTCAATTGAAATACACAAGATTCTCTTAGGAAGCTGAAAAAAGATGATCACACAGCATAGTTTATTGACTGTTTAACAATTTGATCAATGTGAGGAATATAAGTTAAAGATTATTCATATGAATTGGCATTGTATGGTAGTTAAGTCAAGTTGATATGAGCTTAATATGAGAGAATGAAGGAAATAGAAACAGAATAAGATATGCTTTTGAGTTTCTGAGACAATCCAAGCTAGACCACCATGAAAAACCTGGAAGCACTGGATGTGCACTGCTGAGGAGTCTGGTGTTTTAACTTCAAAGTACTCGATAACTGTTTGTTCCCGTTCGAAGTTTCTTCACTACTGTAAATCTCGTTCTAAGATAAATGATTAGAGGATAAAATATCTTCTCTTATTAGGTAGCGAATCAACTAAGAAAGTAAATACTGAGATTGCTAACTGACTTAAATTAAACAATCATCGAAAAACTAAGAATCATTCGACACGCATTTCGTTTTATTATGTCAATCCTCAGCACAGAGAGTTCACAATTATCAGGTGTAGTTTGAGGCGTTAAACCTTCTGACCATCGAGTCGGCATTCAATAATTTATATGTTTAAATTCAATCAATTTTCAATATTGAGCAACCATCTTTCATTGTCTTTGGTCAACAACTACTTTACACCAAGGTTGGTTGAATTCCATTGCTAGAATTACCCCTCGAAATTATTTACTAATGAGCACATAAATATTAATAGTCATGGATCTTTTGAAGACTGTTGGATTTTCATAATTTTTATTATAGGTTGATCTCAGTTAGACTTTCAAATCATTGTATACTGGATCAGTGGTCTAGGGCTCGAGACCTGAAGATCGTGGCAACGAACATATAATAGAATGATAAGGCTGTACAGTGCTTCCCTGGTTTTAATATTTGATTCGTGATCTCTATTGCTTTAACAATCTCCATAAACCACCTAGGCGAGACTGTAATTTATTTACGAATCAATCAGATTGAGGATAACACAACTTCGATTTTAGCGCGAAATTTATTTATTCATTTGTCTAAATAGTGTTTTGGCACATTAGCTGATGTCAGTCAGTGATGAAAATCATAAACCCTGTTCCTAACCCTAACCAGTGAATGTAAATCGTAATCCTATTTCTTCAAACTGCTTTATGACTCTCGTTTAGCCCTATTAAGTATGTGGACACTCTCAAGGTCATGAAGGCATCACTCAAAGGTTGTCCATAAATCATAGTCTCACCGTCACCTATACTGAAAGCAATAATTATTTCCATGTAGTCTAAAGTCCCTAAGTGCCCTGATTTGACCGAGGGTGGGATGAGTCAGATCTCCCTCTCCAAATGCTCTCACATAGCCATAGGTATACAGCCACCGACAGGAAAGTCCTACTCGTGGCGGGGGTGTTGTCTACGAAATTGAGAGAACAAAAAGCGAATGTCTGGCGCCTTAACCGGGTTCGTGGATAGGGGAGTTGGAAAACACTGATTCCAAACCATTGGTGCAAATGAGCTCCCGTATCCTGAAGGAACAAATGGTGTATGGACCAATCGTTAGTCGCTGGTTCCTGACTTTGCTTCACTGCCTTGTCGATTGAACCTTTAGTTCGAAGACCTCGAGTGTGCCCTCCCCCCAACTAAGAAACCACCTGCTTCGATCTGAGCACCCGGGAACTATCACAGTTCACACACAAATCAAGTGACTTGTGTGATGCATATTTGTTCAGTGCCTCCTTTAAATCAATATTTATGTGTTCTTTTTTTAAATTTTTGTTTTCAATCTATACAGTTGTTTTATTTCAGTGGTACTAGAGCAGCTTATCTAATGGCTACAATTCAATCTCAATATAAATTACCTGATGGTACACAATATCGTTTAATGAATCAATCAACTAATAAACCATTAGATTATGTAATAATCAATAATTCATTTATCGATCAAACGACAAATGATTCTTCTTCTTCTAAAGTTGATAATTTTAATAATGATAATACCCAGACAACAAATTGTTCATTCAATACACTTCCTACATTGATTGATTGGAATGCAGTTGTTCGTGATAGACATGGACCATTTTGGCCACAAAATTATGGACCTATCTGTCAAACATTATCTAATTTACATATAGAAACAAACAATTCGAATGATCTTAATGGTAAGATTAATTTTAAAGATATCAGATTTGATATGAATACTATTTGATTGTTGAAGACTTTTGTTTAAAAAATATTGTCAGTATAGGGTTGTGGATAACCGTATCGTCCAATCGTGGGACTTTTCAGCATGCGAATCCACGATCCCACTCAAGGGATTCGGATCCAAGGCCTTCAGTCTCGCGCGCAAACGCTTAACCTACTAGACCATTGAGCCGGCATCCAATGGTGTTAATGTTTGACCTCAACCAATCCACGAATCGCACGACCATCTTTCATTGTACTAAGGTAGAAACCTGTTTCTATCCGACACGGATTAACTCCACTGGTCACGGTTTCTCACCGGAACTCCGAGAATTTTCTCACGAAGCTAGTCACTAGTGAGCACATGGTAATTGTCAGTTTAGGTGTTGTGGAAATTGTTACGTATCTGATTGAGATCATGAACCGATTGAGACTGAAGGCCCTGGGTTCGAATCCCGCGAGCGGAATCGTGGGCGCACACTGCTAAGGAGTCCAACAATAGGACGAAATGGCCGTCCAGTGCTTCCAGGTTTTCAATGGTGGTCTAACATCAATAGGTTCATGATCTCAATCAAAACTTAACAATCTCCACAACCCCTAAACTGATAGTTTATACATAGTTATTCTTTATGGGGTTCAATAGCTTGATTGATACGAAAACATCCGGTTGTTAAAACTTACGACTTGTCTAGTATGAATTCTTCTAATCCAGTCTTATGTACATCCAACTTAAGGTTCTGAATTTGAACGATGTTATGACTGGTCTACGGATTACTCTTTTATAATTTAATACTGGATCACCTAAACAATAATCAAGAAAACAACTGAAATAATCCACATCTATTTAGCAGAATTACAATTTGATTGAAATAGGATCCAGGTTGTTACAGTACTATACAATAAGATGCTCAGTTTATAAGATTAGTTACTTCAAATACACATACATAATTGGCATCTCTAAATATTTATATGATATAATTTACAATTGAGGCGCTGAGTAACGTTGTTCCAGAATGTTTCAGGGATAATCCATTAACCGAAAGAATCAAGTGTTGTTAGCAGAAATGGATAGTTGCCAACAGTAGAATCCAGGACGCGCGTTTCGTCTTATTTAGGATTCGCCATCGGGTGTACTTGCATTCCTCAGTTGATGTTCACTCTGGGACACAAACCCAGTACCATTCACTTAAAACGCCATCATGTTCTCCACTTAGCCACTACCTTGTGCAATCGGGTGATCAGTTGCAGTCCTAAACATCAATGTGAAAGTTCAAACAACCAATACAAAAATCAATTAAAACTTCACCCCAAAGCAAAAGTTAGTAGCTATCTAGACTCAGTAGCTAAGTGGATAACGTGAATGATACTGGGTTCGAGTCTCGGAGTGAACATCAACTGAGGAATACAAGTACACCCAGTTGACGAATCCCAAATAAGACGAAACGCGCGTCCTGGATTCCACTATTAGCGACTATCCGTCTATGCTTATAATGCTTTTGACTCAAGTCAATTTTCACAGATTGAAATCATGAGTATATGGTGGCGCGACTTCGTGGATTGGTTGAAGTTAGACATTAACACCGTTGGATGCCGGCTCAGTGGTCTAATGGTTAAGTGCTCGCGCACGAAGCCAGTAGGTCCTGGGTCCGAGCCCCGCGTGGTGCGGGATCGTGGATGCGCACTGCTGAGGAGTCCCATACTAGGACGAAACGGCCGTCCAGTGCTTCCAGGTTTTCAATGGTGGTCTAGCTTCAACTAACTCATGATTTCAATCTGTGAAAATTTCTAAAAATCTCCACAAACCCCTTCTGACAAGTCAATTTTGTTTACCGTTTGTTCATTTACTTATTAACCTTTTTTTATTCTCTAGTTAATAAACCAACCATTCCTGATTACACTGAAGAGATTAATCAACTAAAAAACAAGCAACCTTATTTCAAAGAAATACGAGTTATTTTCGATTCAGAATGTAGTCCTTGTCTATCAGGAACATTGAGTACATCAATATCATCTCCCTTGGATATAAAACAATTAGTTAAAGAGTTAACCAACGTTCAACAATGGACACCACCATGTTTAGTCTTTGAATCGAGATTTGAATCAGGAAATCTACGGCAAGTTAGACGAATGTAAGTAAAATGGCAACAATGCTTTATAAAAGAATAGAATAATTGATCTAATTAAAGTAGTTTCAAGTTCTGTTAGGAAGTGAGAATAATTGTCATCTGCCGGTTGTTCAGACAATGGAAACATAATTCTTAAGGGATTTTAAAACGATACTCGATTATTAAGAAGGTTTTGATCATTTGAAAGAATGATGGTATAATTCATTGGGCAGTTATTTGGGGCCAGCCTAATTCACTACCTTTTCGTAAGTTTTAGATGAGTTAACCCTGTACGTATAAGACCTTACTAACAACGACGGAAGTCTGTATGTCAAGAAGATGGTGTATTCTTTCTAGATGAGAATATCTTCAACCTCTTCCTGCCATTGTGAAAAGGCAGAGACACTGGAGATTCTATTTTTCTAGAAGAAACATTAATTGAGGCAAGAATCATATGAATTCATTATATTTCGTAGGTTTCTTATATATTTTGATGATGAATTACTTCCATGAAGAAGCTTGAACCAAAATGAAGATCATAAAGATTCTTACAGATGAAATTTCTTTGAAACTAATGACATTGATCAAACAAATTGATGTTTTATGAGAAAAATGAACTTCAAAAGTACATTACACTTTGAAGAATATAAGATAACTGATTTAATTACTTACCTTTCAGGTCAGTTTGTTTTTTGCGGTAGCACAAAATGAACTCTTTTTTTGTTGTTGTGAAATTCGTCAGGTCAATAAAAGTACACTAAATCTTAGTGATATTTTGTAGTTGGGTAAGCTATGTGATGTGTGATCAATATTTTCAAGGTCAGTTATACTTACATACGCCTGTTACTCCTCGTGGAGGAGCATAGGCCTCCCACCAGCACTCTCTATCCAACCCTGTCCTGGGCGGTTCTTTCCAGCTCTTTCCAGTTGTTATTCATCCTTTCACATCTAGTTCTATTTCCCGCTGTGATGTGTTCTTTGCCGTGAAAGAGAAAAGAATATAAGATAGCTATATGACACGACGAAGCAACTATCAGAGGAATATAATAAACCAGAGAGACTCGTTGAAGACAAAGAAGGCAAGCCCATCACTGAGAATTAAGATTTGAGGAACAGATACGTAGATCAGTTTGAGGGACTCTGAATAGGTCAGTTCCACTGAATCCACGAGACATCGAAACGGCCCACCCACACCTTCCTATAGATGTCACTGCACCAACGATCCTGGAAATCGGAATGGTGATCAGACAAATCAAGAGTGGGAAAGCAGCAAGACCTGACATTATACGAGTCGAAGCACTGAAGTTAGACATGGAATTAACTGCGTAGGCGCTCCATATTCTATTCAGGATGATTCTGGATAAATAGGTGATGCCGACAGACTAAAGAGAGGGACACCTTATGGAGATACCAAGGAAGGGAGATTTGAGCGAATGTGAGAACTACACAGGCATCACACTTCTGACAGTACCAGGAAATGTTTTCAACAGAGTGTTGCTGGGTTGGTTGAAAAATTCAGTAGACTCCCGAAGTCATCATAGATGTACATAGATGGAACAGCTGTCCAATACTTGATTTTGTTTGATGTCAGTGGATGATGAAGAAAAGTTTAACTATCCAATGGTTGTTTTGTATAGGCATCGAGAAAATTAATCTCACTACTGTGTATATCTGAAGAAGGCTATTCAGTTGGTATACGAAAAATATGAGGAATGTACAAATCTAATTATTAGTAACAAGTCTTCAGTTGGTTCAAAATGCACGATACTATCAGAGATCAAACCGAAGACCTTCTAGTCTTTTAGTTAGGGATTAACCTTATAATCTCTGTAGTAGCATCCGACCGGTTGATCACTGGTAAGTATCATGGACTGATTGAACTTAGACTTTAATATACTTACATAGTCTAATCTTGAAAAGAAAACCACCTACAATTCATATCTTCTTTCTTGTTCCAGTTTATGGGAACATGTTGGGAAGATAGCATTAAGTGTTTCCATAGTAGGCTTAATAGGTTGTCAACAGTTGATGAGAACCTAACGAGTTAAATCCATGAGCTCTAAATATTACTTCAATGTTCTGGAACTATCCCTCCAAAACTTTATTTATTTGAAACAAACAATTTCATAATCTTATTGAACTCTTCACTACCTCATAATATACATATTCCTACCTAATCCCCCTCGTATGTATAAGTATGTCAATATCTGTGATCTTAAAATATTTTAGTTTGTAAGTAGCTGATGAGAATCTAACAAAATAAAATGAATCCACATTATTCTGCATCAATCTTCGTTCTAGCTTTCCTTAAGAACTAATAATGTTCATGACCTGGTAAGGCTGAGGGTGGGAAGAGTTAGCTCTCCCACGGGAAACGCTCTCATATGGCCACGCGTATACAACCACTGACAGGGAAGTCCTACTCACTGTCTTCTCGTAGCATCATTGTTGTTTACGAAATTCAGAGGACGAAAAGTGAATGTCCGGCACTTTAACTGGGTTGGTGAACACGGAGATTCCACCTAGCGGAGTCGGTAAACCCTGATTCTAAACCAATGTTGCACATGTACTCCAGGATCTTGAAGGAACAGATATAGTATAAACCAGTTGTTGATCGCTGGCTACCATGTAACGACATCGCTTGATGTCGCCCCACTGCCTATTGGGATTGAACCATGAGATCGAAGGCTCAGGGTGTGACTCCCTAAGAAAACCATCTGTTTCCATCTGGGCACCCAGACATTATCCCAGCCTTTATACAAATCGAATGATTGATGTGGTGCATATCTATTTGATGCCTCTTTGTACCAATGATTATGTATTCAAATAAATAAATAATGTTCATATAAATAGACAATCTCCATGGATACTATAGAAAACATCTTTTTCCCCATGTTTTAATCATTTTCTTTAGAGGACCATTTCATTATGAATTATTATTAAAACCGGATCTCTATACAAAACGTCATGTACAATGGTATTTTTTTCGTGTACAAAATATACTTCCTGGTTTTATTTATACATTTCTAATTGTAAATTTTACAAAACCAACAAGTTTATATTCACAAGGTTAGTTGAAGAAAACAAAATGTTTTTGATAAAGTTTTGTTGTTTAAACTGGATGGTTTGATTGTAAAACTTTCATCAGTTTTGTGAACGACATTATCAGCACAAACTTTAGTTAGAATTCTAGAAAGAACGAAACTCCATGAGCAACAAATCTTCACCATCTAAAATGTTTCCATAATATATGATGATATCATGAGTGAATTGATGCTAGACCACTATGAAAAACTTGAAAGCACTGGACGGCCGTTTTTCCCCATTGCGGGACACCTCAGCAGTGCGCATTCATGATCCCGTCTTGCGAGATTCGGACCCGGGACTTATCAGTATCGCGCGTGATCGCTTAACCTCTACACAACTGACTCGCTCAATTACGTGGATTAGTTGAAGCTAGACATAAACACTGTTCTATACCGGCTCAGCTTTATTTTGACTTCTAGACTATTATTATGAAACTAACTATTCTTAAGTCATTTTCTATTTTATGGCGTGATGTAGTCTGTTTGGTTTGTATATAACCAAGTAAATTTGAAATACATGATTCATATCATGGAGGCTGAGACTGACGTTCTAGACTCAACAAGCAGGGCTATGCAGGAGGAAGGATCGATAAGGACTCTAAACTGCTCGTACTGGTTTATACATCTTTGGTCCAGTCGATAAGTCACTGTTCTCTAATTGGCGGTGTCATTATGTTATACATTAACACTGTAGTGGACGAGAACACAAATGGGGATGATCGAATGTATTTAAACACAAAACCACAGAACATCTTAGTAAAACCTGAGAACCATATAGTGATGACTTAATTTACATAACATTAATCAACTGTTCCTTCTGAAAATATCTGTCAGTCGTCTCAGACTTCACTGTCTCTGTATTTCCATACCAATTGCATTCTGTTCGCCTTCTTTCCTCTTCGGTCTTCCTGAGCTTCTGCTGCCAGATATTCTATTCCTAACGATATGTACTACTTATATCGTTATAAGTAGCACACACCACAATAGGGCACAAAGCCACAAGTTATAACAAACCTTGACCATTTTAAGAACTAGATATAGATAATATTTACTTATTACGCAATAGGATATATATTATCTTTTATTGTGCTTTGAGTCTTGCCCATAAACCTAATTGGTTCACTCAAAATCGCCAGTATGTTTTCACTTTCAGTTTCAGTTTGGAAAGGACTGGATGCTTGTTGGCCAGTGTTAGTCATGGCAATGATTGTCTCTCAGTTGGTTTAACTTTTTTCGAAATTATTGATAGGCAAAGCTTCAATCACATGTTGAGATAATGAGTTGCACCCGTTGATGATCCGGTAGGAAAGTCGACAGTCAGCTGACAAGTAACTGCTGAGGGGTCCCACAACAGGAAGAAACGACCATCCAGTACTTCCAGGTTTTCCATGGTGGTCTGGCTTCAATAGACTCATGATCTCAACTATTAAAATTACTATAACATACACAAAAAACCCTTCTGATATTAACCAACATATGCTCATTAGTGACTGGCTTCAAGAGATATTTCCTGTAGTTCTAGTGAGAATCAGTGACCAGTGGAGTTCAATCGGGTCTGTTGTGAGATAGCAACTCACTGAAGATAATAATTTACGGTGGCTCAGTTTCGTGAATTAGTTGAAGTTAGACATTAACATCGTTAGATACCGGCTCAGTAATTTAGAGGTTAAGCGTTCGCGTTTGAAACCGAAGGTCCTGGTTTCGAATCTCGCGAGGCGAGATCGTGGATGCGCACTGCTGAGGAGTTCCATAGTAGAACGAAATGGCCGCCCAGTTGCTTCCAGGTTCTTCAAGGTGGTTTGGTTTTGATTGATTCATGAATTCAACTAATAATCTCTTAGATATTTGTACCAATTAAGTGTAACTTTTGAAGAGTATGAAAGGTCTAAAATTTCGTCCAGTGTGATAATTATATTCGTATTCTGCTGTATAAACTTCGTATAGATTTTTACGGTAATCTTGTGTATCTTTTAATTTATATGATATTTATCAACTAACCATTAAGTGTAGGTATAGAATCAGTAGATCCATAAGTGTGTTCAGTTTAATGATGACATGTTTTTGGAACATGTATCTAGGCAGTCATTAGTGTGTAATGGTTCCCATTTATTATAAGCTGTAGGATCAAGATGTAATTAACAGAGGTCATGTCAAACATAACAAAAACAGTTAAAGAATAACTCCAACATTTTCTCATTTCTAATTATTGACCTACTCACAACAATAAATTATGGTTATCAAATGATGAATTGATTGATTCCGGACTAAGGTCAAACGTTTATTCAATACATTATTAAACTTTAAACGTTTCCTAAACTATCTAAGAGATTATTAGTTGAATTCATGAATCAATTAAAACTTGACCACCATAGAAAACCTGGAATCGACTGAACGGCCGTTTCGTCCTAGTATGGAACTCATCAGCATCGCGCATCCACCATCCCGCCTCGCGAGAATCGAACCCAGGACCTATCGGTCTCGCGCACGAACTCGTAACCTTTTGGAAGAAATAGCCTTTCAATGCTTCCAGGTTTTCCATGGTAGACTAGCTTTAATTAATTCATGAATTTCACTATTACCAACTACTATAATCTCTACAAAACTCTTATTTGAAAGTTCTTTTAACAAAATGTAAATTATTTTTCAAGAAAAGTTCATTTCATAGAATAATGAGACATAAATGCCCTGGTATGGCCGAGAGTGGGGAGAGTCCGCCCTCCCTCTCCAAATGCTCTCACATGGCCACGCATATATAGCCTCTGCCAGGGAAGTCCTACTCACTGCCTTCTCACACCACGGGTGTCGTTTACGAAATTCAGAGGAAGGAAAGCGAGCGTCCGGCACTTTAACCGGGTCGGTGGACATGGAGAGTCCACCTAGGGGAGTTAAAAAACACTGATCCCAAACCAATGATGCACATGGGATCAAGTATCCTGAAGGAACAAATGTCATATGAACCAGTCGTTGGTCACCATGGAACTGCATCTCCTGACGTTACTTCACTGCCTTGTGGATCAAACCTTCAGGTCGAAGGCTCCGGGTTTGGCCCCCTAAGAAAACCAGCTGCTTCGGTTTGGGTACCCGGGCAGTATCACAGCCCTCACACATATCGAATGAGATTTGTGTGGCGCGTATGTATTTGGTGCCTCCTTGTACCAATATTCATGTGTTAAAATAAATAAAATAAATAATAAATAAATGAATAGTTTATTTTCCCTCAAATAGGTTTACAACCTTTATTGTATTCAAAAATGAATTATCAACAAAATGGTAAGAAATGGATACGTGTTGGAAGAAATATCAAGTAAGTATGATATTTGCCTGTTTCTAAATGTATGAGGGGTTTATTAAGTATGAAGACGTTACCATTCGGGGATTTTACATAGATTTGTTTACTATACTTACTTACTTACGTCTTCTACTCCCAATGGAGCATAGGCTGCAGACCAGCTTTCTCCAACTCACTCTATCTTGTGCCTTCCTTTCTAGTTCTGTCCAATTGTTGTTCATTCTTCTTATGTCTGTCTTCATTTCTCGGCGTAATGTGTTCTTTGGTATTCCTCTTCTCTTTTGGCATTGAGGATTCCAAGTGATGAGGGCTTGCCTTATGACACAGTTGGGTGATTTCCTCAATGTGTGTCCTATCCACTTTTTTTTGAAGTTAATTGAACCTGAGAGCTATTTCTGAAAAGTTATTATTTCCTTTTATTGACTTAAACAACGAACATATATTATTCCTGTTGATATATGTAATTTGAAGTTCTGTTAGTCGTATAAAATAATCTAATCGTTAAAACGGTAGTCGTGTAATACTGGTATCGACAGATATAAGTAGTATGTATCATCCACCAATCGAAAGTGAAATGTCTGGAGGCAGACGGTTAAGAAAATCAAAGAAAAGAGAACAATAACAGAGAATGATTACTGTGGAAATGAAGGAACAATGAAGTCTGAGATGATGGATTGATATTTTGCAAATGAAGAATTCATTGTATGATCCTCAGATTTTACTAGGAGATTCTGTAAAATCGTATTCAAATACATTTGGTTCTCCCCACCTGTGTTCTCGTTCACCACAAAACAAATGTGAATAAATTGATATGGACTTCCCCGTAGTTGTAATGTTAAAAAACTGGAAGACCTCACTTTGCTACAAACCAGTTTCGACATTGATTGTAAATCATCGTAAGTACTTCTGATTGTTAATATAGAACCGATCCAACCATACATTGGAAACCATCCATTCTTTCATAGTTAGTATAGCGGCTGGCACTATTTCAAGCCAACATAACTTATTCTAGCTTTCGGATAGACTAATTTATTCATTCTTCTTCCGTCACATCTTGACCTTGTTAATTATTCTCTTCGTCTCTTCTTGTTTCGACTTAGTTCGCTTCATATCGCCTCACTTCGATTCGATTTGACTATAAGTATTGAGTAACACTTGATCAAAGTGAGTTAGCTAGCATGCCTTCTCCGATTCGTTTCACCTCGGTCTATTCTCTTCTTCGTTTCGTTTCTCTGATTGTCCGTCTAGATTAACCATTGTCTGAGTTATACTTATTCAAAATCCATTCTCTCATGTGACTTATTTAATTCCGTTATTGGCTAACACGAGTTAAGTCGATAATCATATACGAGGATCTACAATATGTCTACTTCAATAACAATCAATCATATGATATTACTGGAGTCAGATCTGGGGCTATTAAATTAGAAGTATCCCATGATAAAATCGACAAAAATTGGTAAATATTTATAGTCTGATACGATATTTCAACAAATCGGTTAGATTTCTGAAACAGATCTGGTTGGTGTTTTTTAGTAAGGTTTTTTTCTGCGGGATGGGTTGCCGACACTATGTCCAACCCTCCTTCTTTACCCGGGCTCGGGACGGCAATAACTGTATAAGGGTTACAGGCGGAGTTTTCTGAAACCGATGAGGTAACTGAAATAATATTTTGCTTACTGATCAATTTCGAATCTTAACTAATTTGTTTGCAGAAGTCAGGACCGTTGACTAATTATCTGAATATATTCGTACTGAATTAGATCTGTTATGTTGAGAGTATTAGAGAATTCTTTGAAAATGTCTACAAAAGCTGAAAAAGACAGAAAGCACTTCGTCTAATTAGCCACTAATGGAAACTATCTACATTTCGTTACAAAGTGTGACATGTTTCCAAAATCTTTTGGAGTATCAAGGTCATTCGTAGACCTGTAAATATCCTTGTAAGCAGAGACGAGGCTCGTTACTGAAAGAAATATTGAGGCAATCTGCACATGATGTACATATACCAATAAGAGATTGATCAATTGCAGTCGTATACATCCATCGGATGAACTATAAGTATGCTTGCCTTCTTCATTTAACCAACATACTTCTCAACTTTTATCTTTCATTTGTGATCTAAGTGTAAGAGATTCTGGAGTATTAGAGAATGGTTAGAAAGTCAGTACCAAGCGTTCAGGCACCAGCCATTCAAATAAATTCAAATGTTCAACGGAAATACTATGATTATAAGATTATCAATTAGAGAATAAATAATAAGGGATTGAAATTAAGGTCACAAATGGATCAATGATTATTCATTTCTGTGCAATAATATTAAATATCAACTACAAAATTTGAAAATCACCTAGGTAGTTGGACCCCTCCCCTTCCACACATACACACACATGTACACTTTATTCATTACATAAAGAATTATAAGGTAATATCAACACAAGCAATGATAAACACTTGTAGTCAATAAGTAAAAGTGCATAACTTAATCAATGTGTAAGTACAATGTTGAGAAGCGTCGCATTTCAACAATTGAAGAACGTATGGAACTCAAAATAACTGTCTTACAACAAAAATCAAAGTGAAAATCTTCAATACGAACGTCAAGACAGTTCTACCGTACGAAGCTTAAGCTTGAAGAACTACTACAACCATCATCGAAAAGGTACAAGTATTTATAAACAATTGTTTACGTAAGATATTCAATATCAGTCGACCAGATACCGTCAACAACAACCTACTATGGGGGAGAACAAACAAGCTTCCATTTGAAGAGGACATTAGGAAAAGATATTGGAAGTGGATAGGACACACACTGTGGAAATAACCAAAGTACATCCGGAAGCAAGCCTTAACTTGAAATCGTGAAGGTAAACAGAAAAGAGGAACACCGAAGAACACACTACATCGGGAATTCGAAGCAGACATGAAAAGTATGACTAGCAACTGGGAAGATCTGGAAAAGATTACCCAGGACAGAGTTCAATGGAGAATGTTTACACTCAGAATTATTTTCTACATGTCAATGAATGTCATATATTCAACACATAAACTAACGCAGAATACAGTATAGACACTACGGCACTCAAACGTATACAACCTCCACAGTCACAAATCAAAAAACAAAAGAAGACTGGAGAAGTGTTTGTTGGGTAAGAATCAAAATGTACAGAAAATCATGAGTATTTATAGATATTAGCGTTTGTTATATCAACATTATAATTCAACCAATCCGCAAAGAGGCTTGTCCAATAGTATCATACCACATTGATATTTTAGAAAGTTTCATTACGTTCTAATTAAATGGAAACTCTTTGGCTCATTTAAAGTCTCTTGAGGCTCCGTTGTATTTCTCGGAAACCATCCCAACATAACAAAACTTAAAGGTAATCAGTTTATTCTCTATTGTAGTGATTAATGCTCATTATTGAGTAGTTCAATACTAAGGATAAAACTACTATCCACTAGTCTCTAATATACAATTAGTTATGTAACCAAAGTCATTTCATTCTATTCATTATTATTACACTATTCTGTCCCTACTTTGTATATTCTCTCAGATATACACGTAATACAATGAATTTATCCAATCATTTACTTGATACAAATAGTGAATATTATCAATTGGAATGGGAAATGGTTAGTTTAAATTTGATAATGTGTTTAATTGATGATACATTAATACAAAATCAATAAATTAATGAATCTCTATCAAATAATAACTTCGCCTGGAGCTCCTCTGGGGCTACTGCTTATCCCAAGCCCGGATAAAGGAGGAAGGTTTGGCATGAGGTTAGCGACCCCTATCCCGTAGAAAAACTAACTCCCTAAAAACACGCTAACCAGAAAAAATTATTTTTTAGATTTGATTTCTAACATATTTAGTACAACAATAATTATACCTTGTCAACCGTTTTTATATTTATATATTTATTCAAACACATATAAACATTAGTACAAGAAGGCACCAAATGGATATGCATTACACAAGTCACTTGACTTGTGTGCGAGCTACGATGCTTCCCGGGTTCCCAGACCGAAGCGAGTGGTCTTCTCATGGGGCTTAACCCGAGTCTATGACCTAAAGGTCTGATCCACAAGACAGTGGCGCAACGTGAGGAGATGTAGTCACATCGTAACCCGTGACTAACAATAGGTTCATACGCTATTTGTTCACTCAGGATCCTGCAGCCCATCTGCACCATTGATTTGGAATGAGGGTTTTCCAACTCCCCTGAGTAGATCCTCCATATCCACTAATCTGGTTAAAGCGTCGGACATTCTCTTTTCATTCTCTCAATTTCGTAAACAATAATAATTCCGCGAGCAGGTAGCGAGTAGGACTTCCCTGGCAGTGGTGGTATGCACGTGGCCATATGAAAGCATTTGGAGAAAGAGAGCTGACTCTTCCCACCCTCGGTCGCACCAGTGCATTTGGGGGCAAATCTTACGTAATAGGTCTAACTAGATGAAATTAGAGAAGATAATTTTGGAGCAATAAGGAATTCTTATATAAACACGTCTACCAGATGAATTCAGAATACTTTGTGCTAGTAGATTAAAGGAGAGTTAAGCAGGTTAAAAAAATTTAGTAAATTTTAGGGCAAAACTAATATTCTAGCTATTAATAAATTCAACCAATTCTGAGGACAACGGAATATTTTGCAAAGAGTTATTTTTGTCATCGTTACTTCAAAGGCATTATGTTATACGGTTATCCTTGTCTAAGATAGTGGTTGGAGGTAGTCAATAGAAAATTCTGGATCTAGGTTTCGTGCTATTTGGCACTCGTCAGCAAGGTGTACCTGTAACCATGAGGGAACCGATGTTCCCTGACTGATTCGATCCCGTTTCACCCAGCTTCACAATAAGAGATATTACCACAGAGCTATCCGGGCCGTAACTGACCTCCTGTAGGACAGGTACACCTTGCTGACGGGTACCATTTGGCAGGAAACCTAGCTCTAAGGTTTCCTGCTGACTACCTCCAATCACCATCTTATCTCAACATAGTGTACGCAATGTCGACCCACCTAGACTAGTGGCCACATTGCAACCTGGTCGATAGTATTCGACCTGCACTAAAAAGCAAATGACGTACACGACATTGACACCACCTAGTGATCAATGAATCGTAAAGTTATCCCAGTATGATACTAATCTATACACCTACTATCCGCGAACCCAACCAAGCTAATCGTGTGAGAAAACCAAGAGTGAATGGAAAACTGTTATTGGATGACTGAATCGCAAATTTATGTATTATTTATAAATATTGATTTATCTTCCTCGAAAAACTGAGCCATGTTTTCAAATACTAACATATCTCTCCTCAGAAAGTGAAGCCTAATCTTGGCAAATACCATGCACCCATCGACATTTCTCAGTTCTCATTTAGCCTATATTAGATTGACTTAAGCTGATATCACTGATTGAATCACTTAAAAAGTTATTTACAACATGAATCCCGTATGCTGAAGATTTTTTGTTGATTCGCTTTGGCTACTTTAAAGTACAGAGTACTTGAATTATGACTAGTAATGGATACCTATGGTGCATACTTCGTCCTGTTTGGGCTCATCAGATTTTGTAACTTACAGTGTCCGAGTTTGTCACTGATATTCAATCTTGTAATACACAAAGATTGAGAGTGAGAAAGGAGTTTATTGACTAAACTGGATCGACATGTATGGATACTTATATATATCCTTTAGATAATTATTCCATCAATGGTATCTCTCATCTCTTAAAAGCTATTTCTTGACCAACCTCATGCGTTTATGATATGACCAATTTCCGAGTGGTCTATTACGTCACAGTCGGATGTACTTACATCCCAGCTAATGTACACTCTGAGACTCGAATCTAGCGCTGTTTGCTTTCAATACTCAACCTGTTATCCACTGAGTAACTGAGCTCAAATCCAGCCGTTTGTATTTTCAATAATAGTCTCAAATTAAGGTTGAAGAGTTACGAAATACTCTCTAGTCACCAATAGTTTGTTAGCTGATATTGTCTGTGAACTGAATTATTGGAGAGTTTAAAACTTACATAAGCCTTCCAATTGGACTATATATCGGCGCTAACCACACCCATAGCAGACCAAAATTAATATTCAATGTGTTGTTCCAAGTACTTTTAATTGTTTGGGTGATTGCAGTATGTTGGAATGGGATTTTATTTGATGAATTTAATATATATGTAAGTGTCTGAAATTATCTGTTACTGTTTAATATGTACCTGTTAGTATAACATACCATAACAGGTTGGATAAAGAAACACAAATAAGACAAAATTTAGAACTTCGAACAAAGCCATTGATCAAGAATGCACTGTAATGTACTGTAATCATCTAATAAATAAACATTAGAATTGTGGTGTGTGTTACTGATATCGACAGATATAGGTAGTATGTATCACCATCAATCGAGAGTGAGATGTCTGGCAAAAGACGGTTAAGAAGATCGAAGGAAAGAGAATGATTGGTGTGGAAATGAAGGAACAACGAAGTCTGAGACGATGAATTGATATTTTGCAAATGAAGTATTTATTGTATAGTTCTCACATTTTACTAAGTGATTCTACTGAATAGTCCCACAATGGGATGAAATGCGCGTCCTTCATTCCACTGTTAGCCACTACCCATCTTTGTTTCCTGTATGTTTCTCAGATTATACTAAGACGTTCTGTAATTTTGTATTCATATACATTTGATTGTCCTCAATTTTTTTCTCCCTCACTACAGAATGATTGGAATTACTTACTTACTTACCTACTTACGCCTGTTACTCTTCGTGAAGGAGCATGGGCCGCTCACCAGCATTCTCCATCCAACACTTTCCTGGACAATACTTTCTAGCTCCTTCCACTTCCTATTCATCCTTTTCATATCTGCTTCTATTTCTCGGCGTAATGTGTTCTTTGGCCTTTCACTTTTCCGCTTCTCTTCAGGATTCCAAGTTAGGGCTTGTCTCGTGATGCAGCTTGACGATTTCCATAATGTATGTCCTATCCATTTCCATTGTCTTTTCCCAATTTCTTCTTCAGCTGGAAGCTGATTTGTTTCTCTCCCACAAAAGGCTGTTGCTGATGGTGTCTGGCCAATGGATGTTGAGTATCTTGCGTAGACAGCTATTTATAAATACTTGTACCTTCTTGATGTTGATTGTTTTTAGTTCTCCAAGTTTCAGCTCCGTACAGTTGAACTGTCTTGACGTCGGTATTGATTAGTGAATAGATTAAGGATAGCTTCAACCTTAAATATTATTCAGTGTGTTATATAATCATCAGTGTTATGTAACCTATAAACGTTTTGACTCTATTTATCATTCAGGAATTTCCTTATGCCAATGATATTTGTTATTTGGCCTATTCCTATCCGTACACCTATACAAATTTAAAATTTGATTTGAATGAATTACTTATTAAATCAAATGAAAATGAAACATTGAATAAAACGATTAATTGTGAAGTATTATGTCAAACTAGAGCTGGTAACTCATGTTCCTGGTTACAGTTACTGATCGAAGTAAGTTTTTTGCAGTGTTATAGCTTATAGCTCTGTTGCTCTCATCAATATATGAAGTAATGATAATACCAATTAGAGAACAGTGAATTATTAACCGGTACCTCTTGCTGCCTAACCCTGCCTGTCGAGTTCAGTACATCAATCTCAGCCTCCACGATATGAATCATGTATTTCAGACATACTGGGTTTATATTACCAGGCAAACAGACCACATTGTACCATAAAATAAAAAATAGCATTTGTACAAGATCAAACCAAAGGTGGCTGTGAATGTAGGAGACTGTAATGAATAGACTGTGCATAACTGAAGTACGGTAAATTTTATAATGACAGTTTATAGGTCAAAATGAAGCTTATAATAAAAGGAACATGAATATGCATAGATAAGATGATTGTTGGAGGTAGTCAACAAGAAACTCTGGACCCGCGTTTCCTGTTGATTATTTCCAAACATCACCTTATCTCAATATAGTGTACGCAATGTCGACCCACCTAGACTAGTGGCCACATTGCAACTTGGTCGATAGTATCCGACCTGCACTAAAACGATATGACACACATGCCATTGATCACCATCCAGTGATCAATCAATTATGAATATGCATAGTTTAGCTACTTAACAATTATATATGTATAGTATTAGCATATAAATAGATCCCAACAGTTAACACTCATTATTCTCGTCGAGATATAACATGGAAACAGTTGAGGCTTTCATTGAGATCATGAATCGATCAATGTTAAGCCAATACTGAAAACCTGGAAGCACTGGACGGCCGTTTTGTCTTACTGTGGGACTCCTCGGTAAACCAATGGTCTGAAAAAACATTTTCATCATGGAAGCTGAAAGTGGTGAATTCAATGTCTTAGTAGGTACTGCATATGAGTTTCATACTAAAACAAAAACAAACTGTTCAGTACTCCTTGGTGTTTTTTGGTCCTTCAGTTGGCAGTAATTACTGTAGAAAATTCACTTCAGCTTTAAATGATCTCAACGAAACCAATAATCAAACTTTGTCGTTTGCTTCACTTGTTTGTGACTAGAAAGCCACTGAAAACCAGAAAGGATTGGTCAGTAGTGTCTTCGGAGTGTAGAACTCCACAGCCCTATGTTTGCACTACTGCTCCATCAACCAGTCACAGAACATTCAGTCATTAGTGTGGGCTCTAAATCTTCAAACTCACTGGGTTGGAATAAAAAAGAACAGCCATTCATAGATCCCTGGTTTCCAGTGATTATCTAGCTACAGTCAATCGTTGATGCAAATTACGAAATCCCACGGCCTTCAAGATCTCTATATAAATTTTTGATAGGTGATTCATTATAAGCAAAGATATATGGTTACTACTAGTAGAATCAAGAACGTTTATTCCTATTTAAGGCTCATCAGCTGGATGTACCTACATCCCAGAGCTGATATTTACCCCAAGACTCGAACCGGTACTGTTCGCTCCAAACTCTTAAATACAAGTACATCCAACCAAAGACGACTTCCAAATAGGGCGAACCGCGTATCTTGGACTCCACTGCTCACCACCATTCATCTCTCCTTATAATACTTATGACTTATGGCAATATCGAAGTAATCTGCACAGGATGCATATATGCCAATAACCAATTGATCCATTTTAGTCGTAAACATCAATGAGAATATTCAAACAACCAATACTATTTTAACAATTAAGTTCATGAGTCAATTAAAGCTAGACCACCATGGAAAACCTGGAAGAATTGGACGGCCGTTTCGTCCTATTGTTGGACTCCTCAGTAGTGTGCATCCATGACCCCATGATGGTCTTACTTCAATTGACTCATGATGTCAACTGTTGCAATGTCTACAATCTCTACAAAACCCCTTCTGATACCAATTACTATTTTAGTGCTATAAATATTGTTTAAATAAATAAAAAAACTACAAAAATTTGTTTGTTTATTTATTTTGACAAATAAATAAACAGCCATACCAAATAAAGATAAATATGCAGTTGTAATCACTGCTCGTGTCCATCCTGGTGAAACCAATTCTAGTTGGATAACTTATGGATTATTGAAATTGTTAACAAGTAATCAATCAATTGTATTAACATTAAAAAAACAATATACTTTCTATATTATACCAATGTTAAATCCTGATGGAGTAATTGTTGGAAACTATAGGTAAGTTATAAAAGAAATGAATGTAACGGTGAGATTAGAATTTATGAATGAACCAATCAGAGTGACGATGACGGATCTTGAAATTTGGCGCCAAATTCACTTATCTGATTCGTGATGAAAACCTTTTTATCTGATTGCTAATACTAACCATCAACTGTAAATATTAATGTTCATTCCTCACGACGGTTTATAACTGTAGTATGTAAATGGACATTCTCAATGTCTCGTTAGCGTTGTTCAAAGGTTGTTCACAAATTATAGTCTCACGATGTAACCATTTTGTTTATGCAATTTATACAATACTTCATATAGACTTTTAGTTTTCTCACTGTTACATTGTTGATTGGGTTAAGAGTTAAGAATAGAATAGATTTTGACTGAGTAGAACTGTCAGATTATAAAAGGAGAAGGATTTGAAATTGTAACCTATCGGTTGAAAGTTAATTATTGTTATAAGTGAGAAATCACCATACTGAATGGTGTGTTAGACGAGTTATTTGATGTTGTAATGTTTTGTAAGGATCATGACATAGTGTTAGTTATATCATCAAAGTTATATAATATACCCTAGTGAGCCAGGGTAATTCTATATTGGTTTTCAGGAGAACCAGACACCATCCAGACTTTTACGTGACAACCCAAACAGTACACGTCAATCCTATATAACAGGAGAGCCAGAAACTACCCAGGTTTAAAATTTGTAGCCTAAATAGTAAGGCTCAATCCCGTCTCCACGAGAACCACACACCGTCTAGGCTTAAACTTCATAACCCGAGCAGTACAGTTCAATCCCGCTTCACAGGAGAACTGGACATCATGTAGATTTTAATGTTACAATCTGAATAGTAAAGCTTAATCATGTGGCGCAACCACACAGGTACCAAACACCCTAGTGAACCATTCGCAACATTCATGTACACATTTACGTCACATGTATAGTTATTCCGATCAATGATCGCGTGAATCAATTGTGCACAGCAAGAACAGGCCAAAGTTGACCTATTCCGCTTACACGACAATCAAACTCGTTAATGTTAGTAATGGCAACATGCCTTACAATGTCCCAATGGCCCTTGAGAACACTGAAAAGCAACCACCAGTATGAATGAAATCGGTTAACCAGCAAACCAATTTTGTGCATGAACAGTCAGAAAAACTTGCCAAAGCAATGCCGAACCATCCACAATATCAATGGCAGACCTCCAGTCTCATGTGAGACCTTCAGCTCTACATAACCACATAGCTTATACTACATACAGCACTTATGTAGGGTAGTAAACGAAAATGTAAACATTTCTGACACACATAAAAATATTTGTTTCCGCGAATTTGAATTATAAACCAGTTCAGATATCTTTTCTCAATATGTTATTGCAATGACTTGAAATAAGACTGGTCTATCAGTGTAGTAGTTTGAACTAAATGCTGATTATCCAGTCAATCAGTTGCAATGTAGAACCTGATAAGTATGTACAGTTTATGCTGTTTGTCCAAGAGACATACCTTAGTGCTGTTATATCTTAAGTTACTGCTTTTAGTCATATCATTCTCCGATCGAATTAGCTGACCTAAAGGAACATATGTTCCAGCTAATATTAGCTTGGTTGAATCATTACAATAACCAACCCGACCATCACGCCATGGTAGCAAATAACATCGGAAAAATGCTGATTACTGTTTCTAATATATCAACTTACTAGCAGTTAATCAATAACTTGATGTTGTTGTGTGTATGTATTTTACACAATTAGTAAGTTAATAGATAAAGATATTAATCATCCATCCACCAAGGAACAACAGCAACCCATTAGCTGAATGTAATCATTCAAATACAGATCTTACTGAAACTTGATGATAATTGTCTCCAAATATCCTGATACGGTCGAGAGTGGGAGAGTTAGGTCTCCTCCTCGAAATGTTCTCAAACGGCCACGTGCATATAACCATTTCTAGGAAAGTCATACTCACTGCATTCTTTCGGCGACGGTCGAGCAGTTATAAAAACACCTGAGAATTTTTGGAAGCTTGTCACTCAGGTTAATCTGAAATCGACAAACACAGTGAAATCGACCAAATTTATCAACCAATGAGAAAAATTATGGACAAACATAAGACCAAAAATCAAATCAATAGAAGATAAAACCAAAATAAAAAAGTAAACAACGATAAGTTAAAGGTCAACAATAAAGAATCAACATCAAGGTCTACAGGACAAGCTAAGAGACATATGTGGAGAAATTCGAGCACTCCACTCTTACTTGAAGTTTGTGATGATGATGTCGTTCAGAAGAACAACGAAAGCTCCACGACAAAACCATCTAGCTAGGAGAACAAAACTCCACCTAAACTAAACTAACGTTGTTGAAACTCCCAATGGTACACATGGGTTTCAGTATCTTGTAGGAACAAATGGTGTACGAACCATTTATTGGTCACTGGCTACCATGTGATTGCGTCTCCTGACGTGGATCAACTGCCTTGTGGATCAGAATTTTAGGTTGAAGGCTTCGGGCATGGTTCCTTAAGAAAACCACTTGCTTCGGTCTAAGCACCCGAGTAGTATCACAGCCCACACACAAATCACTTGACTTGGGTGTTCAAATAAATAAATAAAGCCAAATACAGATTGATTGGGATGAATTTATTTCATCCATTCATTTATCGAGACAGCCGTTAAAGTCAAAAGCGATAAAGCGAAGAGGAGAAGGCAAACGCACCATCTCACTTTGTTATTAGCTTGACTCACTATTTATAGCCAAACAAAAACAAACTAATGACATGCGATAAATAAAATAACCGATAAACTCGCATACTCAAATGAAAACAGTCAATCTTATAAGCGGATAATTGATATGGTCAAAACATATATGGACGATGATTCCAGAAGAATAAAGTAACTGGTCTGTTCAAAAACTAGACTAATGAACATAGGCGTGATACGGTACTAGATACTATCTATCTTGGTTTATAGAGCTTGTGACTTCAAGTAATATCGAGGCTCATATGCCAACAAGTGACTAATCAATTGCATTCTTAAATAACAATGGGAATGTACAAGTAAACAACATCAAGTAAACAAATGTTTAATTTTTATAATCACTTTAGAGATAGCTTCTCTTGATTTGAGCGATCTACACACCAGCTAGCTAGTAAACACATCAATGTTTCATGGTTACCTATATTGTGGCTTAAAAGGTTTGAATATTTTTTTCTGGTCAGCGTTTTTTTAGCGAGTTAGTTTTCTACGAGATAGGGTCGCTAACCCCATGCCCAACCCTCATCCCTTATCCGGCTTGGGACTGGCAGTATCTCCCGGAGGGACTCCAGATGGAGCAGTATATTTACAACTGAAGAACATCTGGAACTCAAAATAATTGTCTCTCAAGCAACATCAAAGTCATAATTTTCAACACAAATGTCGAAACAGTTCTACTGTATGGAGCGGAAACTCGGAGAACTACGAAAGCTATCATCCAGAAGATACAAGTGTTTATTAACAGTTGTCTACGCAAAATCCTTCCGATCCGTTGGCCGGACACCATTAGCAACAACCTACTGTGGGAAAGAACAAACCAGATCCCGGGGGAGGAAGAAATTAGGAAGAAGTGCTGGAAATGGGTAGGACACACATTGAGGAAATCACCCAACTGCGTCACAAGACAAGCCCTCACATAGAATCCTCAAGGCGAAAGGAAAAGAGGAAGACCAAAGAACACATTACGCCAGGAAATGGGGATAGACATGAGAAAAATGAACAAGAATTGGATGGAATTAGAAAGGAAGGCCCAGGACAGAGTGGGTTGGACAATGCTGGTCGGCAGCCTATGCTCCATTAGGAGTAACAGGCGTAAGTAAGTAAGTAAGTATATTGTGGCTTAAGGTCAGGATAGTAGAATAATTCTCTCATTATCTAATATTTTGAATAAATCAACAAGAGTTTCCATTAATGTAATTGACTAATAGATGCGTTTATCAAGATACCTTCTAGATATAAGCTGTTGAATCGAATTGCATATTAGTTGGAATGGTTCAAATCAGTGTAGAAACTTTATTTAAAATCTTTATATAATCATTTGACAGCATTTATTTACACTGTATCTTTCTAGAATTGACTTCCCCTTCTTCTTCTTCTATTTTTTCAAAGATGTTCACTAACAGGGAGAGACTTAAATCGTAATTATCGTCAACCAAAAAAGATGTATTTCCAACTGTATGGACAGTGAAACAACTTGTGAAATGGTGTAAAAAAACATATAAAGTAAGTAATTAGAAAAAAATCAATAAGGAGGTGTTTTAACGGAGAAATTATTGAAGAACTTTATCAGTTGAGATGACTGGGACATGTGTTACGTATGCTCAACCACTGACTGCCCCGACGTGCGATGTTTTATGGTGTAGAAATAGGTTGGAAGAAAGCTAGAAGCGACCAGATCAAAACATGGCACAAATCCATGAAGTCACTGACAATTGGACTAAGACAAGTTGGTAGGTGTAGACTACCTGGTTGAGATCCACGAGATGATAGTAACTGATGGTTAGAGACCTTGAATGACATGTCTCAAAATCGTTTGCTTTGGCGCAGATGCATCCACTCTTTGTGTTCTGCCAAATTCTAATCTTCCCTTGTTTTTTCTCTTTACAAATTTATTTCACTAGATTATACTCCTTGAATAACATTTTCAAACCCTAATGTTTCTGATTACTGCTTATACTCTTACTACCTCTACCACTATGGGATTTGAATCGACAAGTGCATCTCTGTGCTAATGTGGTATGGCAACTCGAACTGATGTACGTACGTATGTACGAAGTTCTATGTTGTTGATGACTGACTGAATTATTGAAAAAATTGATATTCTAAGAACTATTTTACAGATTATGACTGATTATATTTTTATTGTATGACTATTAGACAATTGGATTATTAAGCTTCGATATTCCCTGAGATATACGTTTTATCATTCCTTAGTAATTGTTAGTATATTATAAACCATTTATTCCATTCTCTTTCATATATGGCTTAATGGTGTGTTAAGTATGATTTATAATTTAGGGAACAATGTAGTCTGATATGTCATGCTTATAAACGAATGTATATTTCAATTATAATAACTAGGTGCATGAAATGTAATAACCTAAAAGCTTGTCTGATGTGTCCGGATTACAAATGAGGATAAAAACACGTACTTTCTCGAATGATAGTTGTGACAATTTAGACCCTTTTTGATGGAGTTTTGTTCTCTGAGCTGAACTATTTGTTTGTGGAGCTTTCATTGTTCTTCTGAACGACATCATCAACACAAACTTTAGACCTTAACTCAAAGATTATTTGTACAAGTTGAAGCGCATATTTTGGTCATCAATAGCAAGTTCCATTATGATCATTTCCATTCCACATGATAACGTTTATAGCCATGCTTCCTAGATTTGAACAATTATACAACTGATCTGCACAATTAACTTTAAGGCAACACAACCCTATGTCTTATTGGCCCTCTATTCACCTATCTTGAATTATACAAACATACTGAACCACATCAAACCATACAATGAAAAGTCACAATCATACATAAATAAGCCAAAATTGTCTATGAATAAGGCAAGCTATAAGTAAGAGACTGGCAACAAGTGAGAAATAGTAATTTGTATAACAATAGTTAATAGGCTAAATCAAAGATTATGATAAATAGAATAGATATAGATATAGCAGTTCAGATACTAAGCAATCATAAGTGGAACTTTAATTTAAAGATGAACCAATCAAGTATAAGATAGCAGGTCTTGGATTTTGGCGCGAAATTCATTCATCCAATTGGCTAAATAGTGTTTTGGCATTATAGCTGATGTCAGTTCATGATGAAAACCCTAAATCTAATTCTTAACCTTAATCATCAATTGTAAATCATAATTCGAATTTCTCATACACTGGTTTATAACCCTCATTTGGTACTAGTCATTAGATAGACTTTCTTAAGGTCACTTTAACGTCATTTAAAGGTCGTCCATAAATTGTAGTCTCTCAACAAATACATTCACTGTTGGATATCACAGTGGTATTAATGTTTAATGACGAACTAGTCAACTAATTTAATCCATTAAAACTAGTTAGAGTATTACCAAATATCATCACTTCTATAATTATTCGTATGGAGATATGTGAATATTGTGGTACTTTTACAGTTGAAATCATTAATCGATCTAAGCTAGACCAGAATTGAAATCCTGTAATCACTGAACGGACTAGTCTCGATCAACTCATGATTTGAACTATGAACTTACTACAATCTTCTCAAATCCCCATAGTGATAACAATCATCTTCTCACTAAGGATTAGCTTCAACATGTAACTTTTAAGATTATAAATTGACCCATGTTTTTTAAAATCCATAATACTTCTCAAATAAAGTTTAATAGTTTAATTCATGAGTCAATCATTGGAAAATCTGGAAGCACTGGACAGCCATTTCGTCGTAGTATAGAACACCTCAACAGTTCTCGTCCACGATTCTGAGACTCAGGATTCGAACCTCAGTCTCATACTAGAACGCTTAACCTTTAGACAGCTGATTTGTCATCCAATGGTGTTAATGTCTAACTTCAACTAATCCACGAAATTGCTTCTTTGTCCACCATTGTCTTCAGTAAGTTACTATTTCACAATACACCTGGTTGAACTCCATTGATCACAGTTCATGAATTCTAAAATCTCCACAAACCCTCCCCCATTCTGATAATAATCAAATAAAGTTACATTTTTCTTTCTATTTAAAACTAGGATGTAATTTATTGTGATATGCATGGGCATAGTCGACGGAATAATATATTCATGTATGGTTGTGATCCATTGTATAGACATTCTAAAATATTTAATAATACCAAGAAATCTTTACAAGAAAGGATACTCCCATATATCATATCTCAACAGGTTAGTCTAATTCATGTATACTTAGACGTATCTTTTGTACATTTTACACTAATATCAATATTCAACTTTATTATGCGCCATATAAATCATTCGATTTGTATGAGGGCTGGGACACTGTCCAGGTGCCTAAATCGAAGCAAGAGGTTTTCTTAGAGGATCATAACCCGGAGCCTTTGACCTAAAGGTCTGGTTCACATAGCGGTGGGGTAATCACATCGTAACCGGTGACTAACAATAGGTTCATACGCCATTTGGTTCATATCCCATTTGTTCCCTCAGGGTACTGGAGGCAGCCCATGTGAACCATTAGTTTGAAATCAGGGTTTTCCAACTCCCTTAGGTGGATCTTTTATATTCACGAACCCAGTTTAGGCGCCGGACATTCGCTTTTTGTCCTTTCAATTTCGTAAACAGCGATAATGCTGCGAGGAGTCAGTGAGTATGACGTCCGTGTCAGTGGTCGTATAGGCGTGGCCATATGAGAGCATTTGGAGAGGGAGAGCCGATTCTTCTCACCCTCGGCCGTACCAGGGCATTTGAGGGCATCAATATTCATCGGATCCATAAATAACGCAATGAAGTATGCATACACTGACGGATCATTGAGTAGTGTAATTTGTGATGCTGTGGATTGAATTCTGTCGATACAATTATAATGTGATTATAAATTCATGTAATTTAATATCCATTGTATTCGGTTGTTAAGTAGTTGGAGACTATTGATAGGAAGCTCGTGACTTAGGTTACATGTTTGTTAGGATTCATTAGTAAAGCGTACCTAAAATTTTGAGGGAAATGACACTCCCTATGGGATTGAGTCTAGGGTGACCTATTGTCATATTAAGAGATATTACCACTGAACTAGCTGAGACAAGACCTTCTATGGGATTAAACTATTTTAATAGACTAGTCATTAGATAGTAAATAATATCATGTTTTCTGAGTGCTTGAATTTACAGATAATATAACACTGAGAGCTGATCTACAGAATCTGATCATCACTATGGATTAGATCAACATGATATATTTTTACTACTCGGTGATCACTCAGTAAACTTTTCAGTTATCTTTCTAAACAAAACAATCAGGTTTGAAGTATAAATAATGGATTCTTGTGAAGGGTAAAACTCAAATCTCTACAATCATAACTCTGGTTGAAATTGTGGACGATAGAACATCTGTATCTTTCATTTCGTCCATTGGTGAATAGCTTAATTATCACTATGGGGACTGTGAAGATTTTAGTATTTTCAAAGTTGAATTCACGAGTCAATCTAAGCTAGGTCACCATCAAAAACTTAAATGTACCGGACGGCCGTTTTATCCTAGTATGGAACTCTTTAGTAGTGCGCATCCACGATCCCACACATGGAACTCAAACCCAAGACCTTCAGTATCGCACGTGAATGTATGACCTCTAAATCACTGAACCGGCACCCAACGGTGTTAATGTCCAGCTTCAATCAGTCCATGATCCTGCTCTAACCTTCATCCGTCGCCTGAGGTGTATAACTGTCTCACACTCGACACCGAATAATCTCCATCGGTCACAGCTTCTCATTAGAACTCCAAGAAATCCATCTTGAAGCTAATCACTAGTGAGCCTATGATTATTATTGTTCCTTTGTTTCTAAACCAATCATTCACTATTCTCGTTCACTTTTTCTTCGATCTTCTTAACCTTCTGTCGCTAGACATTTCACTTTCGATTGACGGGTAATACATACTATTTATATCTTTCAAAATCAGTAGTACATACCACATTGTACATTTTACATTCTTTTTTTTCAGGCGACTTCTTATTTTCATTTCCAAATTGTCGATTCACTGTTCATCCAAGTAAAGAATCTACAAGTCGAGTGGTATTTTGGAGAGAATTTGAAGTGATCAATAGTTTCACATTAGAAGCAACATTTAATGGTTCAACTTTACAAAAGTTAGTTTTTGGAAGAAAAAATCAATACTTTTTCACTATTTTTCTGGTTTTGTTATTGTCTTCCATGACATAGTTTCGAAAGAAGTGCCTAATGTGATTGAAGGTTAGTATAAGGTTATCAGTTCTATAGAGATTCATATCATTTGTAGGTAGATAGTGACTTACTTCAGGTTGTTTCTATAGTTTTAATGAGAATCCATAACTTGTAACGTTCAGATATGTCAATAATGAAACACTAACACTATTGGATGACACCTCAGTGCTCCAGTAGGTGAAGTGTTAGCGCATGAGACTGAAAACCCTGGGTTTGAATCCCATGAGCGGGATCGTAGGTGCGCACTGCTAAGGAGTCCCTCAATAGTACGAACCGGCAGTCCAGTGCTTTCAGGTTACCAACGGTGGTCTAAAATCAATCAACTCATGATCTCAATCATAAAAAATAATGAAACAGTTGTCACCAATAAAATTGAATGATCATCGAACTATATCATAAATTCATAGAAGTTGGGATTGTATTATGGTAAGCGTCTCTCAAGTGATCTGATGGTTCTGAGTTTGATTCCTATTAAGTTCATAATTACCCATTTTTCTAAGGAGTTCCAAAAACAGGACAAAACAACGGTCTAGTACTTTATGGTTCTCAATGGTACACTGAGTGAAATCACTCTGTGACTTATTGTCCCTTAGTTACAATCATATTAAGGGATATAAAATTTCCAATCATATTCCTTAAAATAATCATAAGTGATAATGATAGAATATGTCTATCTATTAAACCCTATCCTGGTTTATTGCCCCCAAATGCCCTGATATGGCCAAGAGTGGGGTGGGCCTGCCCTCCCACTCGAAATGCTCTCACACGGCCACGCGTATAGAGCCTATGCCAGGGAAGTCCTACTCACTGCTTCCTCATGGCGGGGGTATGGTTTACGAAATTGAGAGGACGAAAAGTGAATGTCCGACGCTTTAACCGAATTCCAAACCAATGGTGCACATGGGCTCCAGTATCCTAAGGAAATAAATGGCGCATGAACCAATCGCTGGTCACCGGCTACCATGGGAATGCATCTCCTCACGATGCTCCACTGCCAAGTGGATCAGACCTTTAGGTCAAAGGCTCAGGATATGGCCCCCAAAGAAAACCACCTGCTTCGGTCTGGGCACCCGGGCAGTATCACAGCCCACACACACACAAACATGGTGTGGCGCATATATATTTGGTGCCCTCTTGTGCCAATATTTATGTGTTGAAATAAATAATAAATAAATTCTGGTTTATTACATCTAATATTTTCAATAATTGATTTACAATTATTGATTAGTGTTATTATTATCGATTCATTGATTGTTCATGTTATGTAATAGTTCTCTCACTTTCTTTACTGTTACAAAATATTGTAATAAGGATCAGCATCCACACATACATACATACGCACACACACACACAAATACACACACATATACATACCTGTGCCAAGTACAATATCGTTTATGACTTACTGCCAAATTTCTTTCTTTTCAGTAATAGTTTAATGAAATTTGAAGTGGACGATTTTATGAAAATGGGTGAACTATTAGGATATTCATTATATAAATTTTATGAAGTATTATGTAATCCATTGTAAGTAAATATTGATTTTGTATCAACTATTTATTGATCGGTTCAATGAATACATTGGATTCGATACATTCGTTGTAGTGAGTAAATGTCACATTACTGAAGTGTACTTTTCATTGAATAGTTTAGTTTGTGTTTTGGAACTTATCTACAACTGTCTTACATTCTTAACTGATTTACATCTGTTACTCCCAATGGAGCATAGGCCGCCGACCAGAAATCTCCGAACCACTCTGTCCTGGCCCTTTCTTTCTAGCTCTATCCAATTTTTGTTCATTTTTCTCATGTCTGTCTCCATTTCTCGGTGTAATGTGTTCTTTGGTCTTCCTCTTCTCCTTTGGCCTTAAGGGTTCCAAGTGATGAGAGCTTACCTTGTGACACTTCTTCCTGATTTCTTTCTCTGCCAGAATCTGATTTGTTCTCTCCCATAGTAAGTTGTTGTTGACAGTGTCTGACTAACAGATCTGAAGTATTTTGCATAGACAACTGTTAATAAACACTTGTATCTTCTGGATGATGACTTTGGCAGTTCTCCGAGTTTCCACTCTATACAGTAGAACTGTTTTGACATTTGTACTGAAAATTGTGACTTTGATGTTGCTTGAGAGACAATTATTTTGAGTTCCAGATGTTCTTCAATTATAAATATCCTACTCGTGTTTTGCCGATCCGTGCCTTCACATCTGCATCAGATCCACCGTGTTCATCAATGATACTACCCAGATATGTAAAAGTTTTTACATCCTCTAAAGCTTCTCCATCACATGTGATTTGATTAGTTCATATCTACTCCTCCTAGAGCCTCCCTGGGGCTACTGCTGGTCTCGAGCGTGGATGAAGGAGGAGGGTTGGGCATAGTGTTAGAGACCCCATCCTGTAGAACACTAACTCGCTAAAATATGCTCACCAGAAAAAATAATTCAAATCATCTACAACTGTCTAGTATGCATATATTTAGTGTAGCGTGAATAAACACATTAAATTAAAAGAAAACAAACATATAAGACATTAAATGAAATCTCGAATGGAAATTACATTCTAATGTACAATAATTACTTGTTAAAGGAATACAAAGCAAACCTGAATTGCTGGATATGATATTCGTAGCTAAAACGGAACCGTTGCAGTTGATCTTTACTGTATTAACCATCTATTTTAATTAAACGGGTCACTATTTACAACTGATTGATCACTGGGTGGTGATCAATGTCATGTATGTTAGGTCCTTCTTAGTTTAGATTGAATCCTATCGACCAAGTTGTAATATGGTCACTAGTCTAGATGACTTGATATAGTGCATGCAATGTCAATGAATCAAATACTACGTTATTCGATCCATTGAAACAGAATTACTGCTGTTATCCTTCGTAGAGCATAAGCTGCTAACCAATAATCTTTAACTTATTTTGTCCTAAACTGTGCTTCCCAGTTATTCTCGAGTGCTATTCATACTTTTAATGTCTGCTTTCTATTCGCACTGCAATATATGTAATTTTTACTTTTGTCTTGAAGATTCTAAGTTACGGTTTACTTTATGATACAGTTTAATAATTTCCGCAGTGTGTTCCCTATTCATCTCAAGAGTCTTCTCCTAATTACTTCTTCTTCTTCTTCTCCTTCTTCTGGAAGCTGGTTTGTTCTTCGCCGAAGCAGGTTATTACTGATAGTGTTTGACCTATGGATCTGTAGTATTGAATAATTTTTTTCTGGTTAGCGCTTTGTTAGCGAGTTAGTTTTCTACGGGATGGGGTCGCCAACCCCATACCCAACCCTCCTCCTTTATCCGGGCTCGGGACCGGCAGTAACCCTAGAGTGGCTCCAGGCGGAGACATGACTATTAAAATAAATGGCAGAATTCTGTTGATTTTATTTCATGAATATTGAGTGATAAAAGTCATGAACTCTGGTTATGTCTATCACATAATATATTTATACATTTATTTTCAATGTATTAGAAAACTTAAAGAAACTCTAAAGAACTTAGCACAACAAACGCTTACCAATTTATGGATGACAAAAATTCCATTGACACCTGAAAATACAATATCTGAAGAACATAAAGGTAACATTTTGCGAAATCTATAAATTATATTCACAATTAAAGTATTGGGCCCCCAAACGCTCTGGTACGGCCAAGAGTGGGAAAAGTTAGCTCTCCCTCTCCAAATGCTCTCATATGGCCACGCGTATATAAGAACTGACAGGGGAGTCCTACTCACTGCCTTCTCGTGGTATTATTGTTGCTTACAAAATTTAGGGGATGGAAAGAGAATGTCGAACGCTTTGACTGGGTTCGTGGATATGGAGGATCTACTTTCAATTTTCCCATTGATGTTTCGGACTGCAATTGATCAGTCTCTTATTGGCATATGTTCATCCTGTACGTATTGACTCGATCTTGCCTTAATTCACAAGCATTATAAGCAGAGATGGATAGTGGCTAGTAGTGGAATCCAGAATACGCGTTTCATCCTATTTGGGACTTTTTAGCTGGATTTACCTGCATCTCAGAGTTGATGTTCATTCTGGGACTCGAACCCATAACCGTTCGCTGCACTGCTACCTACAATCCATCTTTGCTTATTATGGTCGTGAATTAAGGCTATATTGAGGCAATACGTACAAGATGAACATCTGCCAATAACAGATTGATCAACTGCAGCCCTAAATGTCAATGGGTAGATTCAAGTAAATAATAGCAAGTGAATTTAAACTTCACCCTATTGCACAAACCAGTGACTATCAGGACTCAGTAGCTAAGTAGATAATCCGATGGCGTTTCAAGTGAACGGTGCTAAGTTCGAGTCCCAAAGTGAACATCAACTCTGATATGCAGGTACATCCAGCTGATGAGTCCCAAATAGTACGACACGCACATCATGGATTCCACTTCTAGCCACTAACCATCATTGCTTACAATGATCTGAAGGATCTCTAAATATTTTATTAATTATCAAGTTTACTACTCATGAGTAGTATAATCTATCTAATAACTATCTTTTCAAGTCATAAAACAATATTATTACAGTTTTGAAATGAAAATTGGACAAGGATAACCAAAATAAAACGCAGTGATTTAAGTGAAATCGACATTCGATCATGTATTTAATGGAATAATTGATAATCGAAAGATAACTGCTTCAAACTCAATTTAGCTAACAGTATTTTATTTATTTATTTGAACATATAAATATTGGTACAAAGAAGCACCAAATAAATATACACCACAGAAATCATTCGATTTGTGTGAGAGCTAGGATACTGCCCGGGTGCCCAACTCGAAGCAAGAGGTTTTCTTAGGGGGCCATAACTCGGAGTCTCCAACCTACAGGTCTGATCCACATGGCAGTGGAAGAACGTGAGGAGATGCAGCCACATGGTAGTCGGTGACCAACGATTGTTTCATACGCCATTTGTTCACTCAGGATCCTGGATCCCATGTGTACCATTGATTTGGAATGAGGATTCTCCAACTCCCCTAGATGGATCCTCCGTTCCCGCCAACCCGGTTAAAGCGCCGGAGATTCTCTCTTCATCCTCTTTATCTCGTAAACAACAATAATACCACGAGAAGGTATTGAGTAGGATTTCTCTGTCAGTGTTGTATACGCGTGGCTATGTGAAAGCATTTGGGGAGAGAGAGTTGACTTCCCTTACTCTCGGCCGTCTCAGGGCATTTGGTGTGATATAGAAACTTAATTTGAAAAAAATAAGTACACCGATGACTTAGTTTGGTGGATCAGTAGCGGAATACTTAAAGGATTCGATTTTCGACAGTTTAGTTAAAGATTTGAACTTCACTTTTCCTACTTTAGTTCTAAGAATCTGTTGAGTATCATCAGTACATAAACGAAAAGCTGGACTACTAAAAGTGGAACACGCATCGTTCGTTGTTATTCATCAACGTAATTAAGACAAAGAATTATCCTGAAGTATAGAAAATATCAGAAGGGGTTTTTGTGAAGATTATAGTAATTTTAATAACTAAGATCATATGTCAATTGAAGCTAGATCACCATGGACCACCAGAGACCACCAATCTCGCGAGTTGGGATCGTGGATGCGCAATGTTGAGGAGTCCCATAACAATAAAGAAAATAGTTTAGAAACTCATATAATTCAATATTATTCCTAGATAAAATCAATATGCTATCCACAGAAGTAATTAATATGACGTTAGTATTCTTAAGGATTTATACTTATGTTTCATATTACTAATAAACTACTATAAAATGTACATTACCACTGAATCATGGAAGTTGTTGTATCTTGTGATCATAGATTAGAGGTCAGTGAATTACCGATCGGACCAAGGACGCGTAAATCACGTGCGAGCATCCTAGAATCCTGAATGGTTCTGCTTTCCGCCTAGCCCAGCCAATTAAGTCCAGAACACCAGTCTCAGCCTCTGCAATATGAATCATTATATTTCAAGCATACTGAGTTTATATACCAATAAAACCGACCACAATGTACCAATAAAATATGAAACAACATTTTTACTAGAATTGGCCAAATGTGGCTGTGAATGTGGGAGGCAGTGACTAAAAGACAGGGCATAATTCAAGAATGGTAAAACGCATAATAATGGTTCATACGTCAAAATAAAGCTTATGATAACAGAGACATGAATATGAACAGTTTAGTTACATAAGAATTACACGATAAAAATATACTTATAATATTGGTCCATAAATGGATCCCAAAGTTAACATTCATTGTTTCTCGGTACCTAACAGAAGTCAAATTGTTTTAATATTTCACTTAGTTTTTGTTAGAGAATAATCATTGAATGAGCGAGTCTTGAATTGTTACAGGACTATGTTCACTTAAGAACTGTGGATCAAAAAAGTAGTTAAGAAATTATAATTGAGAAACATTACTGGTGAAATGTAATTATTTTCTTGATCAGAGTCTCAATTTTCACATGTGCGTCTAGAGAAGATAACTAATTTATTTACTTATTCCTGTTAACCCTCATGGTGGAGTATAGGCCACCCACCAGCACTTATCATCCGATTCTATCCTGAGAAATCCTACCCAGTTCCTTCCAGACACTATTCATCATTTTGATGTCTACTTCCAATTATCGACACAGTGTGTTCTTTGGCCTTCCTCTTTCCCGTTTCCCTTCACGATTCCAAATCAACACTTTCCTCATGATTCAGTTCAATGATTTCCTCAACTTATGTCCTATCCAATTACAACGTCTTTTCATAATTTCCTCTTCAAATGGAAACTGGTTTAACCTCTTCCACAGAAGCTGTTGTTGATGGTATCCAGTCAACGGACATTCAGTATCTTACGTAGACAACTGTGTATGAATACATGTACTTTCTTGATGATGGTTGTAGTAGTTCTGGAAGTTTTAACTCCGTAAAGTAGAACTAGCTGTTTTGACGTTCGTATTGAAGATTGTTACTTTGATATTGATTGACAGACAGTTGTTTTGACTTCCATTTGTTCTTCAACTGAAGGAATGATGTCCTTAGTTTTTCAATCTTTGGCTTTACTTCAGCATCGGATCCTCTTTACTCATCAATGATAGTTCTCAGATACGTGAGAGATTCTACATCTTCCAGTTTCTCCATCAAGTGTGAATATGTTGGTGTTCTCCGTGTTAAATTTGGAAGTGTTGCTTTTTCCTTTGTATCATGTCTTAAGTGGATCTTTTTTCCGTCTAAACTTTGAAAACTCCATGAACCACAGTTTCTGATTAAAAATCAAATGGAATTCATCTTCAGTATAGATTTGTAGAAACTTCTGAGTTTTGATTGAGATCATGAAACGTTCAATATTAAACGACCATTAAAAATTTGGAACCACTGGAGGTTAAGCGTTCGCACACGAGACCGAAATTCCCTAGCTCGAATCTCGCGTGCGAGTTGCGCATTGCTGAGGAATTCCACACTAGGACGAAACGGTAGTCTAATGCTTCCAGGTTTTCAATGGTGCTCTAACATTGATCGATTCATAATCTCAATCAGAATTCATCCTCTTATATTTTATGTGAATGGTTTCTTGAAGAGTATTTCATAAAAAATCTATCCTTTATAATTCAATGGTCTAGTGAGAGTACTATCGTATAACATTGCAATAGTCTGGAAGAGTCTGTTATTTTGTGAGAAGTTCCAAATTACTAATATACTACAATATATATAACTTTCAATCTTCCACTTACATCTTCCGGTATGTTCTACTATCTAAACTATCTTCTCATCTGATCTCCAAATATGTTTTGCCAATGAAATACTTTCAATGCACTGAAAACCTTTACAATAATTGCAACTTCAACGCGACGTTAAGCTACAAATCACTTACAAACATTCTTGTGATTAGCGTCCACTACACCACTTAACCATTTGGAGTGAATAGATTGCAGTTCGAATCTTAATGTGACCACTGGCGAATGAACTCAGATAAATTCAAATGACGAATATTTACTTACTTACTTGTGAATCATCATCGATGAACAAGCAGGATTCGATGCAGACCTAAAGGTCACGATTGGCAAGGCAGTGGTGGCATTCCTACAGTTGAGGAACAAATGGAAGTCAAAACAACTGTTTGTCAACCAGTATCAAAGTCACAATCTTCAATACGAACGTCAAAACAGCCAGTTCTACTTTACGGAGTTAAAACTTCCAGAACTACTACAACCATCATCAAGAAGGTACATGTCTTTATAAACAATTGTCTACGCAACGTACTCAACATTCATTCGCCGGATACCATCAACAACAGCTTCTGTGGAAGAGGTTAAACCAGTTTCCATTTGAAGAGGAAATTATGAAAAGACGTTGTAAGTGGATAGGACACACACTGAGGAAAGCATTAAACTGAATCATGAGAAAAGTGTTGATTTGGAATCGTGAAGGGAAGCGGAAAAGAGGAGGTTCAACGAACACACTATGTCGAGTAGTGTAGTAAACATCAAAATGATGAATAGCGACTGGAAGGAACTGAATAGGATTTTTCAGGATAGAGTTGGATGATGAGTGCTGGTGAGTGGCCTAAACTCCTCCACGAGCAGTAACAGGCATAAGTTATATATATATACGTCTGAATAATGCATTTTAATATCGGAATTTTGTTGTATAAAACAAATTCAATTATCCATAAACAACTGATTCATAATGATATCTTCTTCTTCTTCTTCTTTTGCTTCTTCTACTTCTACTTCTTCTATATTATAAACAAGATAATCTATCAATCTTCAATAAGAAATCATATGATTTTGTCAAATCACAATTATATACTACTAATAAGCAATTCTTTCAGTCAACTATTAATAGTGATCAATTTAATCATAATAATAATAATAATAATAATTCAATATTAAATTATTCATTAAATGATCCCGATCAAATTGATGATGATCAAATCAATAATGATCAAATGAATGATTCATTGGAACAATTAGCTAAAGCAATACATGTATTAGAAAAATCAATAGAATTACATAATATTGAATTGAATGAAAATGAATTATGTAATACAAATGATAATGATATAAGTTGGTAAGTTTGAAAATAATTTATGTTAACTATACAAATTCACGATTTTATCTCTTGTAAGATTCGAACTTAGAACTTATCAGTCTTGTGAGCAAGTGGTTCATCATTAGACCATTGAATCCTACAGTAAGATGAAATAGCCATCCATTGCGTCCAGGTATTCCATGGTGATATCTAGCTTCAATAGACTCATGATCTTAACTATTAAAATTATTATAATATTCACAAAACCCTTTTTGATAATAATAATAATAATAATAATGTTAACTATCTCAGTAAATGAACTCTGCCTGTAGGTCTTCTAGAGTTACTGCTCACTCCATGCTTGGGTAAAGAAGGAGGTTTAAGCATGAAAATGCTGACCAGATTAAACTAATTAATCTTAGTCAAGATAGGTGGTCTACTTAAATATCTGGCCTACTTGTTGCTGCCATCTAGATATTATCTGTTTTCTTTTTTGTTTGAACGCATGATTATGCCTATTAGTTTGATAACCTATTCAGGTGTGTTTATGAAATGTTTACGACCCTTCGTTGTACTGTTATATCCTAGAGAAGATTAAATGACGAGTAACTTCTGAGAAGTATTCATGGACCGATGTTATACACATATTCTTATTGTATAACTATTCAGTAATTCGATTGTGTATGGCTATATTAATCTTATTATAAGCTTCATTTTGACCTATAGATTATTATTGTACGGCTTACTGTTCTTAAGTTATGCTCAGTCTATTAATTACAGTCTCCTACGTTCACAGCCACTTTTTTGGCTTGATCTTGTATAGACGTTGTTTCCTATTTTATGATGTGATACAGTCTGTTTGGCTGGTATAGAAACCAAGTACGTTTAAATAAATGATTCGCATAGTGTAAGCTGTTATTGACGCTCTAGACTTAGTTGGACGGACTAAGCAAACAAAGGACCAATAAAGAAGCTAGGCTGGTTATACCGGTCGAACGTCATTGGTTTGACACAGTGTTGAGATTGTATAAGCCGTATTTTTGATCAACGGATAAATCACCTGATAACTAATCGAGCTTAAAGTCACAACAAATTAGCGACGAGGATTTCGCAAAAACAACAGAATGTACAAGTTACAAAAACGTACAATCGGAGACATCGTGATGGTTGACAGTATGCATTGAAAAGAATATATACATTAATCAGATGTCAATTTCTGAACTGCCAATCAATCAATATTGATCGTCAGGATCAATAAACAAGTGAGAAACGGAAACTTGTTGTAATACTTTGTACTGAGAATTCTATATTGTGCCAATAACCGAATAAAGCTAATAATAATTAAGCCTTTAGAAAATCAGTGTCACACTTCGATTATAAGCTGTTTTTTTTAATTTTCTTATTCGAAAACTTATTAGCAGTTAAATCCAGAACGCGTGTTTCATCCTATTCGGGACTCGTCAGTTGCATGGACCTGCATTTCAGAGTTGATGTTCACTATGAGACTCGAACCCAACACCATTCGCTTCGAACGCCATCGGATTATCCACTTAGTTACTGACTCCCAAAAACTGACTATTACTACTTTCAAAACATGGGGGTTGCTCAATATCGTGAATTAATTACAATTTGATATTAGCACTGTTGAATACCTGCTCAGTGATCTGGAGGTTCGGTGTTCATGGGATCGTGGTCCAATCTTAAGACGAAACGACATTCCAATGCTTCTACCTTTACCAAGATAGTCTAGCTAAGATTAATCCATGATTTAATCCTTCAAAACATTTTTCCAATAGGTGTTTATGAATATCGATAATACATGGAGAAACATTATGTGATAAAGTACTCTGAATAACTGTACAAGATTAAACAGAAACTTTAAAGCTATGAAGTGTTTTAATAGTGTAATATTGGTAGATGGATCATTGAACTGTTGTTCACTTATTTTAATCTAGGGAGTCAATCATTTTCACAAACCTTCACTCACGAACTATATTGCATAGATGACTTTGAAAGCTTCTGAAAGTGACGTTGGATCATCTCTTCCAGTTTAATATACCGGCATACGGGTTGTGGAGATTATCAAGTTTTTGATTGAGATCATGAACCGATTGATGTTAGACCACCATTGAAAATCTTGAAGCACTGGACGGCCGTTTCGTCCCATTGTGGGACTCCTCAGCAGTGCGCATCTTTGACAAGTTTATAAATTATGTTATAATAATTGTTTGTAATGAAAATCTATTCAGTTCCTTATGGTTAGTGTTATGATCACTAGATGAATATTCCTGAAGAGTCCAATAATAGGACGAAACAACTATTCAGTTATTTCAGGTTTTCCATAGTGATCTAGCTTTATTTAACGCATAAATTCAACTATTAAATTACTATAATATACATAAAAACACCTAATTGACTACTTATATTTATTCTTTAGCTTGATCATATTTATCGATTTCAAGAGTTTATGTAATTAAATATTGTTAAATTTTATTTTGTTTCCAATTTCGTATTAACTATTCCTTTCTCCGTATTGAATTTCGCTATGAAATTCAAAAAAAAAAAAAGAAACTACTATCTTAAATCTGATTGATTCGTTGGTTTAGTATAGTTCACTTATAAATATTCTGATACGGTCGAAAGTGGAGAGAATTAGCTATCCTTCTCCAAATCCTCTCATATGGCTACGTGTATACAACCATTGACAGGGGAGTCCTACTCATTGACTTCTCACGGGATTATTGTTGTTTATGAAATTGAGAGGAGGAAAAACAAATGTCTGGCGCATTAACTAGGTTAGTGGATATGGAAGATCCATCTAGGAGAGTTAGAAAACCCTCATTCCAAACCAATAGTGCACATAGGCTTCAGGATCCTGAAGGAACAAATGTGTAATAACCAATTATCGTTCATGTGGTTGCACCTCCTGATACTACTCCACAGCTTTGTGAATCAGATCTTTAGGTTGAAGACTCCGGATATGACCCCCTAAGAAGACCATCTGCCTCGGTTTGGGCAGTGTGGTGAATGAGAACAGAAGAGGTACAACCGATTGTATACTAGAATGAAACGGCTGTTCAATGCTTCCAGGTTTATAATGCTAGTCTAACATCGATTAATTTATGATCTAAATCAAATGCCGTTAATTGTTTTTTCACTTTATCTCGATGATTCTTCACCAGTTCAAATCTATGACTCTGAATGAATCTAATAAATAATTTTAAGATATCGAATTGTAGATGGATAGATTTTCATTTTTCATCCTCTATTTATCTCTGAAATAGCACAACCAAAAGCATAAGTTTATCATTGAGTAGTAACCGATTTTGTCTGTCTAATCCCTAGTATTCTGTTGATTAAATTGCTTTATGGTTACTTGTCTAGGTGATTAGATGTCTCTGTGCAATGTATTTTATACAAGAAATGTCGAGATAAACATCAGAACTCTTTCAACCTAGTTTCATGTCAGTTGGGACTTGTCAGTCAGCTGTACTTACAATCTGAACAGAACTGATAATCTCCGTAGGATTAGGACTCGCTACATCTAGTGATACATTCACAGGTATTATCACTCAGTCATATAGGTTCCTCAGTTTTATCGGTATTATTATTTGTTAATAGTTGATATCATTGCATACGTGATAACCATTAAATGCTTATAGTTAAAAATTAAAACATTTATTTCTGGATTGATGTAACTAGTAGGATATTTAATTACTCACTTACTTACTCCTGTTACTCCTCGTGGAGGAGCATAGACCACACACCAACACTCGCTATACAACTCTGTCCCAATCAATTATTTTCACTTCTTTCCACTCGCCATTCATCCTTTTCATATCTGCTTCCAATGCTCAACGCAATGCGTTCTTCGGTCTTCCCCTTCTCCGTTTCCATTCACGATTTCAAGTTAGGGCTTGCCTCGTGATGCAGTTTGATAATTTCCTCAATGTATGTCCTATCCACTTACAACGTCTTTTCATAATTTCCTCTTCAAATGGAAACTGGTTTAACCTCTTCCACAGTAGACTGTTGTTGATGGTATCCGGTGAATGGATGTTGAGTATGTTGCATAGACAATTGTTCACAAATACTTGTACCTTCTTGATGATGGTTGTATTAGTTCTGGAAGTTTCAACTCCGTACAGTAAAACTAGATGTCTTGACGTTCGTACTGAAGATTGTTACATTGATATTGATTGACAGACAGTTGTTTTGACTTCCATTTGTTCTTCAACTGTAGGAATGCCACCATTGCTTTGCCAATCGTCACCTTTAAGTCTGCATCCGATCCTCCTTGTTTGTCAATGATGCTTCCCAGGTAGATGAAAGTTTCTACACCTTCTAGAGTTACGCCAACTCCGCCTGTAGCTCTAATAGGGTTACTGCCGGTCCCAAGCCCGGGTAAAGGAGGAGGGTTGGGCATGGGGTTAGCGTCCCCATCCCGTAGAAAACTAACTCGCTAAAAAAACGCTTACCAGAAAAAATTATTCAAACCATTTAAACTCTGCCCTGGGAGTTAGAAGGTCTTCAGTTAGAAGAATTATGACGCTTCATGGTGAAAGCCGAGTTCCTTCGGAAGCCACGAGGCCGATGCCCCTTCTAACAACCAGAGCAAAAATTTTTATAGGTACATGGAACGTTCGAACAATGTGGGAAACCGGGAAGACCAGTCAAATAGCAATGGAAATGAGGAGATACAACTTAGCAGTACTGGGAATCAGCGAAACCCACTGGACCCAAGCTGGACAGAAAAGGCTAGCTACGGGAGAGATGCTGCTATACTCCGGTCACGAGGAGGACAATGCTCCACACACTCAGGGAGTCGCTCTTATGCTGTCCAAAGTAGCACGAAATGCACTTGTAGGATGGGAGTCTCACGGATCCAGAATCATCAAAGCATCATTCAAAACAAAGAAGGAGGGGATCTTAATGAATATTATCCAATGTTATGCACCCACCAATGATAGCAACGACGACATTAAAGATCAGTTCTACGAGCGGCTGCAGTCAATCATTGAGAAATGCCAAGAAAGGACCTAACTATTCTGATGGGAGATCTAAATGCCAAAGTCGGAATAGACAACACCGGATATGAAGATATCATGGGACGACATGGACTGGGACAGAGAAACGAAAATGGAGAAAGATTTGCAAATTTGTGTGCATTCAACAAATTGGTCATAGGAGGCACAATATTTCCACACAAGCGTATACACAAGGCTACATGGATCTCACCGGACCACACTACAGAGAACCAAATAGATCATATTTGCATCAACAAAAAATTCCGAAGGACAATGGAAGATGTGAGAACCAGGAGAGGTGCTGACGTAGCTTCAGATCACCACCTAGTTGTAGCCAATTTAAAACTGAAGCTAAAAAAGAACTGGACAAGTGGACAAACAGCACTACAAAGGTTCAATACAGCCTTCCTTCGAGATACTGACAAACTCAATGAATTCAAGATAGCTCTCAACAACAGGTTCCAAGCCTTACAAGATCTACTGAAAGAAGAAGAAACTAGTATGGAGGACAACTGGAAAGGCATCAAGGAAGCATTAACTTCAACGTGTCAAGAGGTTCTGGGCCTAAAGAAACACCATCATAAGGAATGGATCTCTATAGAAACACTGGACAAGATCAAAGAAAGGAAGAACAAGAAGGCAGCAATTAACAACAGCCGAACACGAGCAGAGAAAGTCCAAGCACAAGCTGAATACATAGAAGCAAACAAACAAGTGAAGAGGAGCATTAGAGCCGACAAGAAGAAATACGTGGAAGAACTAGCAACGACGGCAGAAAAAGCTGCTAGAGAAGGAAATATGAAACAGCTTTACGATACAACGAAGAAACTAGCAGGGAAATACAGTAAACCAGAGAGGCCGGTCAAAGACAAAGAAGGCAAGCCAATCACCGAAATTCAACAACAGCGTAACAGATGGGTGGAATACTTCGAGGAACTCCTGAATAGGCCGGCTCCAATGAATCCACCGGACATCGAAGCAGCACACATAGATCTTCCTATAGATGTCAACCCACCAACGACGGAAGAAATTAGAATGGCCGTCAGACAAATCAAGAACGGGAAAGCAGCAGGACCCGACAACATACCAGCTGAAGCACTGAAATCAGACATCGAAGCAACCACAAGCATGCTGTACCTTCTATTCAAAAAGATTTGGGAGGAGGAACAAGTGCCGATGGACTGGAAAGAAGGACACCTCGTCAAGATTCCAAAGAAAGGAGATCTGAGCAAATGTGAAAACTACAGAGGCATTACACTACTGTCAATACCAGGGAAAGTCTTCAACAGAGTGTTGCTGAACCGGATGAAGGATGCAGTAGACGCCCAACTTCGAGATCAACAAGCTGGATTCCGTAAGGATCGGTCGTGCACAGACCAAATTGCAACACTACGGATCATCGTCGAACAATCAGTGGAGTGGAACTCATCACTATACATCAACTTCATTGATTATGAAAAGGCATTCGACAGTGTAGATAGGAGGACATTATGGAAACTTCTTCGACACTACGGAGTTCCTGAGAAGATTGTCAACATTATCCGGAACTCATACGACGGACTACAGTGCAAAGTAGTGCATGGAGGACAGCTGACAGATGCATTCCAAGTAAGGACTGGAGTCAGACAAGGCTGTTTACTCTCTCCCTTCCTCTTTCTTCTGGTGGTCGACTGGATTATGAAGACCTCAATATCTGAAGGAAAACACGGAATACAATGGACAACTCAGAATCAATTAGACGATTTGGACTTCGCAGACGACCTAGCCCTCCTATCACGTACACACGAACAGATGCAGATGAAGACAGCCAGTGTAGCAGCAGTCTCTGCATCAGTAGGCCTCAGCATACACAAAGGGAAAACCAAGGTCCTCAAATTCAACACGCAGAACAGCAATCCAATCACTCTTGATGGCGAAACTCTGGAAGATGTAGAGTCCTTCACATACCTAGGAAGCATCATCGATGAACAAGGAGGTTCAGATGCAGACGTAAAGGCGAGGATCGGCAAAGCAAGGGTCGCATTCCTACAATTGAAGAACATATGGAACTCAAAACAACTTTCAACCAATATCAAAGTGAGAATCTTCAATACGAACGTCAAGGCAGTTCTACTGTATGGAGCTGAAACTTGGAGAACTACAACAACCACCATCAAGAAAGTACAAGTATTTATAAATAGCTGCCTACGCAAGATACTCAACATCCACTGGCCGGATACCATCAGCAATAGCCTTCTGTGGGAGAGAACAAAGCAACTTCCAGCTGAAGAAGAAATTAGGAAAAGACGATGGAAATGGATAGGACATACATTACGCAAACCGTCAAACTGCATCACGAGGCAAGCCCTAACTTGGAACCCTGAAGGGAGGCGAAAAAGAGGAAGGCCAAAGAACACATTGCGTCGGATTATAGAAGCAGATATGAAAAGGATGAATTACAACTGGACGGAGCTAGAAAGGATTGCCCAGGACAGGGTTGGATGGAGAATGCTGGTGAGTGGCCTATGCTCCTTCACGAGGAGTAACAGGCGTAAGTAAGTAAGTAAGAGTTACGCCGTGAAGATTGATTAAGTTGGTGTTTTCCGCACTGTAAAATCTTGCTTTGAAAATCTTACTTTTTCCCTTGTGTATGTTGTGGCGCAAGTTGCTGCTACACTAGTTGTCTTCATTTGCATTTGTTCATATATATAGGATAGAAGAGCCAGGTCGTCTGCGAATTTCAAATCTTCTAATTGATTCCGAGCTCTCCATTGCATTCCATGCTTTGCTTCAGATATCTAAGTTTTTAGAATCCAGTCGACAACTAGAAAATACAAGAGGAGAAAGAGTAGACTTCCATGTCTGACATTAATCCTTTATATCATTAGGATGGACGTTCTATTTTCTTGATATTTTGACAACTAATTTGTTCCATCAATGAACCTTAAGTCGTTCATGTAACCAATTAATTATCCCCTTTAATCAGATTATTATTATTTTCCATTTTTCTTTTCAATTTAGTACTTCAGATTCAAATTCAGATAGTGAACCAGAAATGACAATCACTGATCAAAATTCATTAAATCAATATTACAATTTACGTGGTGATCTTATTTTAACTAATCAAATACAAACAATCCTATTAGATCAATCAAAACAATTGAAACAGTCTAATAATACTGATGATGACATCACAAAATCATATAAATTGAAGAAAAGAAAAAGAATAAGAAAAAGAAATTACAAACACTTCATGATCGTCATCTTCGTCATCATCACCATCCTCGTCATCATCATCATCATCATCATCATCATCAATTCTCTTCTATACAAAACAATCATACAAAAATATTTCATCTAATCAAAGTCAAAACAATGATAATTCTATTATTCATTCAAAACGGTTATCATCTAATTCAACTTCATTATCACCACCACTACCGCCATCGTCCTTATCGACATCATCATCATCATCATCACCTATAGAAGGAAAAGGTACATCATCTGAACAGGTAAATTATAATAAAAGATAGTCATAATTTAACTTCAAAGAATAATTTGTCTAATATTATACATAAGTTGTTATGTTTATTCAATGTATTATATCATTACGATGGTTAATTATAGTTATGAGGACTGATTTATTGATCGGTTTTCTTCTGTTGATAAATGTACTTGTATGTATGTTGTATGTGAGTGTGTGTGTGGGTGAGTGAGTGGGTAGTTGGTTGCATGGGTATGTAATATGTTGTCTAGTTACTATTATCAATAGTTTAGTCAATATTAACTAAACTGATTGCAAATTATATGTTCACCTGAGAAACAAAAAGAAATTATTATTATTTAATTAGAACACATATATAACCATAATTAGACGACCCATGCAGGAACATATTTATAATATGAATCAACATATGCTCACTAATGACTGGCTTCAAGAGAAGCAGTGACCAGTGGAGTTCAACCGGGTCTATTGTGAGATAGTAACTCACTGATGACAATGGTGGATGTGTCGCTCAATTTCGTGGACTGGTTGAAGTTAGGCATTAACATCGTTGGGTGCCAACCGGTTGAGTGGTCTAGAGGTTAAGTGTTCGCGTGAGAGACTGGAAGTCCTAAGTTCGAATCTCGTGAGGCGGGATCGTCATTGCGCACTGCCGCTGAGGAATCCCACAATAGAACGAAACGGCCGTCCAGTGATTCCAGGTTTTCCGTGGTGGTCTAGCTTCAACTGACTCATGATCTAAAATAATAGAATTACTACAATCTCCAAAAAACCCCTTATGATACATAACCATAGACAATGAAACTGCAGAGTGAATGAGGTATGGACAATCCTCACTATAATTATATAAGTCTCCAATAGTATTTTAGTCAATCCACGAAAGGTTTTGGTTCAGTGGTGTCTCTGAGCAACAATCACATTATTGGAAAGTTATGAGAACCGAAATGTACTTTAATAACGAGTTGCTATAGTCTGAATAGGTTGTTTTATTTTATATTTTTGTCTTAAAGAGACTTAAAACTTAAGATCAAAGGTAAGATGAAGAATGGATTCATTTAGGCAATTGTCACCGATTCTATGCCATGCTACTTACCGCTTCTAACTAGGTGGTCTAAACCTAACGATATAAGTCAGTCTTATATTTAATCGCTTCATGAACTGATTACACATCTTAATTTGTCCATCCTTGATAGTCTTTCAAAATCCCTTTAAAACAACCAATGTCGCACTTCTTGATAGTTAGAAATAAGTATATTTGATAAATTTACCTAAAGAGATACTCACCTAAAATCTTATACGAAACCGAACTAGCGGAACTTCAAGTTTCCTGATGAGCCAAAGAATCCTAATCCAACAGTTCATGGTTACAATTTCAAATAATTTATAATCACATATTTTGATGGAAATTTGTTCTTTGAGTTGGATGATTTGATCTTCATTTAGAAGACTTCTATCTGAAGTTTGTGCTGATGATATCGTTCAAAAGAACAATGAAAGTTCCACGACTAAACCATCCAGCTCAAAGAACAAAACTTCATCAAAATCATCCACCTCAGCTACAAATCTTCTCCACTATCTTATGATCAAATGAACATACTATAGATTTCATCAGTTAACTAATCAAGAACATCAGTATCTAGATAATTCAGATTTGATTGATACAAAGACAAGGATGGAATAGAGAAGATTTTCGTATAGTTTAAGATAGATTGATCATTTTTATGGGAAGCTACTTCATCCAATAGTCCATTCGAAATCATTCAAATCATGTCACAATTATCGATTCTTTTTTATTTCTTTTTAAACACTGAAAATCATTTTGGACTTTGATACTATCGACGATAGTCAGAACTAAGTACTTCATTGAATTAATCATAAATAATTTAACAGTTGAATCCATGAGACAATTAAACCTAGACCACCATAGAAAACCGGGAATCACTTGACGGTCGTTTCATCCTAGTATGGAACTCCTAGGCAGTGCACATCCACAATCCCACTTGTGGGACTCGAGCTTCATCTAATGAATTCATAACTATCAGAAGGGGGATTTCGTGGAGATTTTAATAATTCCAATGATTCAATCCATGAGTCAATTGAAGCTAGATCACCATGGTAAACCTAAAAGCACTGGAACGGCCTTTTCGTCCTAGAATGGAACTCCTCATAAATAATTGTCAGACATGTTGCCAAAATAAAAGACTATTCACACATCTTTTCAGTTTAACTCTTAATGACATTTGGATTATTGTTGCTCTGGTAAATTGAGCATCTATGACCATTTATTTTAAATTAGAGCACAAGTCAATCTTACTTGCTTACTTACTTACTCACCCACTTACATACTTACATACGCACTTACGCCTGATACTCCTCGTGGAGGAGCATAGACCACACACCAACACTCGCTATACAACTCTGTCCCAATCAATTATTTTCACTTATTTCCACTCGCCATTCATCCTTTACATGTCTTCTCCCAATGCTCAACGCAATGCGTTCTTCGGTCTTCCCCTTCTCCGTTTCCATTCACGATTTCAAGTTAGGGCTTGCCTCGTGACGCAGTTTGATAATTTCCTCAATGTATGTCCTATCCACTTACAACGTCTTTTCATAATTTCCTCTTCAAATGGAAACTGGTTTAACCTCTTCCACAGTAGACTGTTGTTGATGGTATCCGGTGAATGGATGTTGAGTATGTTGCATAGACAATTGTTCACAAATACTTGTACCTTCTTGATGATGGTTGTATTAGTTCTGGAAGTTTCAACTCCGTACATTAGAACTGGCTGTTTTGACGTTCGTATTGGAGATTGTGACCTTGATACTGGTTGATATACAGTAGTTTTGAGTTCCATATGTTCTTTGATTCAGTTTAATTAACGTTATATTTATGTATGCCTTTTTGATACATTAGAATCATAAAGAAAAATTAAGTAGAAGGTTATATTATCTTAATAAATATACTGGACAATCAAATCATGGTATACCATGTTTTGTTGAGAAAAGATTATTTCATCGTTCATGTCAGGTAGGTCTATGTATAGTGTGTAGTCAATGTCTAGTTTAAAACGTAGATATTGAATATTTTTTTATTTTTTTGTCTGAAAATGTTAATGCATTATTACAACCGGGTCTGTTGTGAGATGGTAACTCACCAAAGACAATGGTGGTCGGTGGCTCAATTTCGTGGATTGGTTAAAGTTAGACATTAACATCGTTGGGTGCCAGCCGGTTCAGTGGTCTAGATGTTAAGGGTTCGCTCGCGAGACTGATAGATCCTGGGTTCGAATCTCGTGAGGTGGGATCGTGATTGCGCACTGCCACTGAGGAATCCCACAATAGGTCGAAACGGCCGTCCAGTGATTCCAGGTTTTCTATGATTATCTAGCTTTAGTTGACTCATGAATCCAACTACTGAAAATTAATTAAAAATATTTATGTAAAAAGAAATTCGATAGGCTATAGATGTTATCTCAAAGCAGTGAACAGATTTGGTTATCTATCATAGCGAACAAGTTGAACTACACTAGTTGAAACGCTTTTACATTTACCATATTAAATAAGTTGATTGGATAACAGTAAAATTAAACACACAGGATGTCTAAGATTTGAGTCTTACCGTTGACTTCATTGAGTTGAGAACGTCTGGCTACTCCTTGTGTCCAATTATCGTTGTCTCTAAAAGACTAGTAGTATCCAGTGGTAATCACATGTTACCATACCTAAGTTCAGGGACATATTTTCAGGTATAGTAACAATAATTCAGTTTATATCACCATCTTGAAGCACATGTTTTGGTGGTTTGGTCACTTTTAACAAATTTCATTCGAGCTTATTCTATGTTGGGGACTAGTTGTTAACTTTAGGATTGAGTGGAAAAAGCTGAAAGATGGTCTGCAGCAACTTGCAACCCGGAAGACTCTCCCGATCTCCCATATTGTATGAGCATTTTATGTACCTAAATTAATGGTTCCTCTGGTTGTCAGAAGGGGAATCAACCTTGTGACTTCTGAATAAACTTGGCTTTCACCATGAGGCGTCATAGTTCTTCTAAATGAAGACCTACTAACTCCCAGGGCAGAGTTTAAATGGTTTGAATTATTTTTTCTGGTTAGCGTTTTTTAGCGAGTTAGTTTTCTACGGGATGGGATCGCAAACCCCACACCCAACCCTCCTCCTTTATCTGGGCTTGAGAATGGGAGTAGCCTCAGAGGGGCTCCAGGCGGAGTTGAGAGGCGGTCAGTTTATGACATACCTTGGTGATATAAAAAGAATTTGTCTAAAGCTGGCACCAGTTGGTTCGTCAAAGTTCCCTAATTGGGGTCCTAGAGAAGGGACAACTCAGTAGCTTGCGGCTTCATCGATCAATTGCTTCTGATTCACTGAAACTCATCACTCTCTTTGATAATTGTTATAACTTCAATGCAACGTTCCGCTATATACTACTTACAAACAATCTTGTGAGTAGCATCCACTATAGTAATATACAATAACATTTCATTTTATCCTTGTTTTATACACAAAAAATTGAAATCATTACAACATTCAACAATGTTTTTTTTAATTTAACAGCGAATTCGTACAGTTTGGGAAAATATCGACCTGACTAATGCACAAACAATACATGCTCAACGAGTAAGGAACATTTGAGGAATTTTATTTTACTGTTATTTAAATTATCATTGTACTCGTAATATTCACAGTATTATATATATATATATAACTTCGCCTGGAACCCCTCCGGTGCTACCTTTGGTCACAAACCCGGGTAAAGGAGGAGGGTTGGGCATGGGGTTAGAGACCCCATCCCGTTGAAAACGAACTCGCTAAAAACGCTAGCGATAAATAATAATCAAAACCATATATGTATAATCCAAAATATGTAAATGGTAATCACTCAAATGATAAACTCATCTTGAGGTTTATCTTTGATTTTATGTGTACAGATTGAAATGAAATGAAAAATAAAGTACTTACAATGATGGCGTTGGTTGATGATCATAGGATAATGATTACAAATTAATTCAAGTTAAAATAACGAAGTATTGAATTATAGTTGTAAAACGATGGAGGAGATTTATAGCTCATAAAGATGATTTTGGCAGAGTTGCTTTCTCTAAGCTGAGTGATTTAATCACAATGCTTTCTTTGGCTTTTAAGATAAAATGATTAGCGTAAACATCAGATCGAGTTCTCTCTGAACTTTATCTTGAATTCCTGCTCAGTAGTCAGAAGGTAATGTTATTGCCATAATCAGATCTCAAATTATTGGCAGAGATGGATGATGGCTAGCGGTGGAATCGAAGATGCGCATTTTTTTCATTTTTGGGACTCATCAGATAGATGTACTTGCATACCGGGGTCGATTTCCACCCCTGGACTCAAGCTCAGTACTGTTTGCTTCAAAGCCATCACGCAGTCCAGTTAGCTACTGAGTTCAGATAACCACTAGTTTGTATAATCGGTTGGAGTTTAATTCACTTTTGTATGGGTTGTTTTATTCTTTGATTGACGTTCAGGATATGTTCATCCTGTTCGAATTCCCTTGATATTATCTTGAGCCTAGCTGAGGAGTCCCAAATAGGACATACTGGATTCCACTGCTAGCCACCATCCATCTCTGCTCATAAGGCTTGTGATTTAAGGCAATGTCGAAGTAATCCTCACACGATATACATATGCCGATAAGAGATCGATCAGTTACAGTCCCAAAACATCAATCGAAAAGTCAAACAACTCAAATTATTGGTTTAAATAACATCGTGAGAATATTAGTTAACTAGCTCATTTATTTATCGAATCGCAAGTTTATACACCTACATTTCAACCAGAATACCTTTATCTAAAGATTAATGGTATTAAATAGGTACCCAAATCAAAGTAGATAGACCAAACAAGAGACTCCTACTCATTAGTTAAATCCATGTAATCACTGAATCATCGCTCAATTGATACACATTAACGAATAATTTAAAATTAAAAACAAATCAGTTGTTCAGTATTCTGTAGCATACAATTTTTCATCATTTATTACCAATTCATGATGAAAATCATTGAACAGAATGGGGATTTGTGGATATCAAAGTAATTTAATAGTTGAATTCATGAGTCGATCTGAGCTAAGCCATCATCAAAAACCTAGAAATATTGAGCAGCTGTTTCACCCTAGCATGTAGCTCCTCAGCAGTGCTCATCCACGATGCTGCACGCAGGACTCGAACCCAAGACGCGCTCACGAACGCTTAACTTCAAGACCACTGAGCCGGCATCGAATCTCCACAAATCCCCATTATGATAATTATCATGTGCTCACTGGTCACTAGCTTCGAAAGGTCATTCTCAAAGTTTTTGTGAGAAACAGTGATCAGTGGAGTCCAATGTGTGTCGAGTGTGAGACAGTTATCCACCTTAGGTAATGGATGAAGGGTTTTGAAGAATCATGGACCGATTGAAGTTAGACATTAACACCGTCTGATGCCGACTGAGTTGTCTAGCGGTTAGGCGTTCGCATGCGAGCTCGAAGATCTTGGGTTCGAGTTCCACATGCGAGATCGTGGATGAGTGCTGCTGAGGATTCCCCTACTAGGTCGAGATAGCCTTTCAGTGTTTCTAGATTTTCAATGGTGGTTTAGTTTAAATCGACCCAAGAGTTCAACTGTTAAAACTATTTAACTTTAAATTTACAAATCTTTATGCTAATAAAAAGTGTTTATAACAATTACAATGATTCCTTTCTATCTCAATGTAATTATTTATTTGAACATATAATTATTGATACTAAGGGGCATCGGATACATATGCGCCACACAAGTCAATTGATTTGTGTGTGGGCTACGATATTGCCCGGTTACCCAAATCAAAGCAGATGGATTTCTTAGAGGGGGGCCACACCTGGAGCCTTCAACCTAAAGGTCTGATCCACAAGACAGTGGAGCAACGTGTGGAGATGCAGTTACATGGTAGTTGGTGACCAACGAATGGTTCATACACCATCTGTTCACTCAGGATCCTGGAACCCATGTGCACCATTGGTTTGGGATGAGGGTTTTCTAACTCCCCTAGATGGATCTTTCATATCCATCAACCCGGTTAAAGAACCGGATATTGGCTTAAAGTCCTCTCAATTTCGTAAAAAACAATAATGCCACGAGAAGTCAATGAGCAGGACTCCGCTGTCAGTGGTTATATTCACGTAGCCATATGAGAGCATTTGGAGAGGGAGAGTTGACATTCCCTACCCTCAACCGTACCAGGGCATATCGATTGTAGAAATGAAAAATGAATTAATTAAAAGGTATTTTATAATTTCACATAAAAGATAGTTTAAAACATAGGGCTGAATAAAGATCAAGCTTAAATTGATTGTAATTAATTTAATAATAAGTCACATATCTTGGTGTTACCTTTTCCTCTGATCTCTCTTGGTCTTCTCACGTTTTATTGTTATCGAAGAAGGTTTTCCGTCTGACCTACTACATAAAGAGATTGCATGCTCTTGGGATTACTCATGATTTACTCTTACAATTTGTCAATTCTTGCATATTACCTATTATTCTTTACTGTTCTCCATTATTCTTTCCTGGGCTTTTGAGAAAAGACTTTGCTGTATTGCGGAGAGTGCTGAAGGCAGTTAGCAAAATGTGTGGTGATTCTTTCGAGGTCAGAATTAATGTGGTTGTGAATAGACATCTAAAGTCATGTAAACTCCTGGCAGGTGTTATTTTATCAGATACTAACCATCTCCTTCACTCTTATCTTTCTCCTTGTTTATCTTCTTCTGGTAGAACGAGACGTTATTACATTAAAATCCATGCACGCAAGGAAAAGTATAAAAGTTCTATAATACCTTACCTAGCAAATATACTCTGTGACGAACAGGTTGTTAGAGTCAACCTGGTTAATAAACTATATTCTTAAACATGTCTTTAATTTGAAAAGTTGTACAGATCCAGATCTTTCCTATTCAACTTTTTTCTTTTCTTTTTTTGCTTTTTGTGTTTTGTTAAAGAAACTTGTTGAAATACCTCTGGCTGAGAATTCCATATTGTACCAAGGATATGATATTGAATAAAGCCATTAATAATAATAATAATAATAATAATAATAAACCGTTATAATTATGTACAGCAGTCTATTGAACTTGTTTTATTTAAGATTTCTATCACTAATCACATTTTCATTTCAATGTTAATGAAACTTGAATCAATTCAGAATAGATATGTAATAACAACATTCAATTGACTAGTGTCTAATATGATATAACGAATATCTTAAACTTGATTATTGGCCAGTAGCCTAAAAATAATGTAGATTTGTAAATGAGAGATTATAATATGGTAATTCTATTTACTAAAAGTGATCAATCAAATTTAATAGTAAATATTAACAACAGAGAAAGAACACTCCTTCTTTTCTCCGCCTGGAGTCCCTCCGGGAGCTACTGCCGGTCCCAAGCCCGGATAAAGGAAGAAGGTTGGGCATGGGGTTAGCGACCCCATCCGGTAGAAAACTAACTCACTAAAAAACGCATAAGTAAGTGTATATATATATATATATATATATATATATATATATATATATATATATATATATAATAATTTATTGATTTTGTTTATAATTACATTTGAACAGTAACAAATGATTCATATTTATTTCTATTAACTTTAATTTCAGAAATTTGTGGAACGATTTATAAACAATGTAAGTTTGAAAAATAAATTAGACCATTATGGAAAACCTGAAAGTATATGCTCACTAGTGACTGGCTTCATGTGAGAAGTAGTGACTAGTGGATTTCAACCGGGTCTGTTGTGAGATAGTAACATACTAAAGACAATGGTGAATGTGTCACTCAATTTCGTGGATTAGTTGAAGTTAGATATTAACATCGTTGGATAACGGCCAGCTTAATGATCTACAAATTAAGCATTCACGCGCGAGACTGGTAGGTCTTGTGTTTGAATCTCGTGAAGCGGAATCGTGAATGTACACTGTTGAGGAGTCCCACAATAAGACAAAACGACCGTTCTATTGCTTCCAGGTTTTCCATCATCCACGGTCTACCTTCAATTGACTTATGAATTCAACTATTAAAATTACTATAATATCCACAAAAAAACCCCATTCTAATTTTTTTTTTAAATGTTTTATGAGTAATATTAAGAACTGATTTTAATAAACATAAATTGAAAATCAACAATCATTAAATAGTTATTTCGTCCTAATATGAAACTCTTCATCAGTCAATATCCATGACTTCATAGAAGATGGAACACAAGATCTTTGGGATTCTCAGTGATTGCTTACGATGCTCCACTGCCTTGTGGATCAGACCTTTAGGTCAAAGGCTCCGGTGTGGCCCCCTAAGAAAACCACCTGCTTCGGTCTGGGCACCCGGGCAGTATCACAGCCCACACAAACAAATATGGTGTGGCGCATATGTATTTGGTGCCTCTTTGTACCATTATCTATGTGTTGAAATAAATAATAAATAATAACAACTTGAGATGATGGAGAAGATTTGTAGCTCAAGTGGATGATTTTGATGGTGTTTTGTTCTCTGAGCTGGATGTTTAGTTATGGACCTTTCATCGTTCTTCTGAACGACATCATCAGCATAAAATTCAAATAGGAGTGACAATTTAAAATGAACATTCATTATATGTTATGAATTGAAATGATATGAAATGTATAACATCTGAAATACTTCGATTAATATACAGTCAATTACAGAGAGATATATATAAGAGATTATTATACTAAGTAAAAGTTATAAATGACTGAAAACAATTAGAAAAGATTATCCGAGACACAATTCAATGAAGAATACGGAAGGACGGCCTATTCTCCTCTACAAAGGGTAACAGGAGTAAATAATCTTTAGTTTATAAGAAGATTTCTTAAGACGGATCATTCATCAAAAAGAGTCCTACAACTAGAACGAAATAGCTATCTAATGTTTTGTAATAATGATGTAACTGAAATAGTTCTATGATAAAAATGATGTATATATTATATATGAAAAGTGAATTAATATGATAAAGGTATGAAATCCTATGGAGAAGGTGACCTTCAGAAGAAGAAAAAAGTTACTTCTTCGATTCATATATATTATTTCATTATTATTATTAGTGGCCTTATTCAGTTTTTGGTACAAAACAGAGTTTTCAACACAAAGTATTTCAATAAGTTTCCCATTTCTTATTTCTCGATCCATTCTGACGATAAATATTGAGTGGTTGTCAGTTAGATGTTAGTAGTTCAGGAATCGATCTCTGAATAATGTACATTCTATTCGATATATATAGAAAGTAACTACGATGTCTCTGGATGGGCTCTTTTTTGCAACTAGTACAGAGAAAGATCGTGAACTTTTCATAAAAGCATCTGAATAGGTTGTACAATTAATTGACACAATGATCTGCTGAAATAAACAAGAAAAGACAGATAACTTGTTAAAATATCTAGATGGTAGGAACATGTAGCCCGGATATTCAAGCAGGACTATAGAATGATTTATGGAGATGTTTTCTTTTTCAACAACAACTATGAGATATTATGATCAATTTTTAGATCACTATAGTATCAATTACGCCTGTTACTCCTCGTGAAGGAGCATAGGCCACCTATCAGCACTCGCCATCCAACCCTGTCCTGGGCAATTATTTCCAGTTACTATTCATCCTTTTCATGCCTGTTTCCCATTCTCGGTACAGTATGTTCTTCTGTCTTCCACTTTTCCGTTTCCGTTCAGGATGCCAAGTTAAGGTTTGTCTCCTGATATAGTTTGGTGATTTCCATAATATAATTACTGAACTTTTATTATCGTTCTGAACAATAGCATCGTCTGTAAAACATACTACATTACTCCTTGTGGAGGAGCATTGGCCGCCCACCGGCACTTACCATCCAATTCTGTCCTGGACAATCCTTCCCAGTTCTTTCCAGTTGTTATTCATACTTTTAATATCTGCTTCCAATTGTCGATGCGATGTGTTCTTCAGCCTTCCACCTTTCCGTTTCCATTCACAATTCCAAGTTAGGGCTTGCCTTGCGATGCAGTTTGGTGATTTCCGTAATGTATGTCCTATCCAATTACAACCTCTTTTCCTGATTCCCTCTTCAAATGGAAACTGGTTTAACCTCTCCCACAGAAGACTGTTGCTGATGGCATCCTGATAAAGGATGTAGAGTATTTATAAATAATTGTAATTTCTTGATGATGGTTGTAGTAGTTCTGGAAGTTCCAACTCCGTAAAGTAAAACTAGCTATTTTGACGTTTGTGTTGAAGATTGTGACTTTGATACTGGTTGACAGACAGTTGTTTTGAGTCCCATATGTTCTTCAATTGTAGGAATGCGGCCCTTACTTTCCCAATATTTGCCTTTACTTCAGCCTGGGATCCTCCTTGTTCATCGATGATGCTTCCCAGGTATGTGAAAGTTTCCACATTTTCCAGAGTTTCTCCATCAAGTGTGAGTGTGTTGGTGCTTTCCGTGTTGTATTTGAGGAACTTGCCTTTCCCCTTGTGCATGTTGAGGCTCATTGATGCAGAGACTGCTGCTACACTGACTGTCTTTATCTACATTTGTTCGTGTGTATGCGATAGGAGGGCTAGGTCATCTGCGAAGTCCAAATAGTCTAATTGATTTTGAGCTGTCCATTGTATTCCGTGTTTTCCCTCAGATGTCGAGGTCTTCATAATCCAATCAACCACCAGAAGAAAAAAGAGAGTAGACAGCCTTGCCTAACTCCGGTTCTTACTTGGATAGTATCTGCCAGTTGCAAAACTTTGCAATGTAGTCCATCGTATAAGTTCCGGATAATGTTGACAACTATTCTCAGGAACTCTATAAAGTACATTTTATACAATTAAACCATCTCTAGCTTATAGAACTCAACGACATTAGAAGCAAAGACTACCTTTTTTGACTTTTTTTTCTATTACAAAAAACAAGCGGTTATCATTTGAATTCAGAAAAAAAATATCAAATCGATAATCAACCCCGCTAATTATGTATATTGAAATTTCGACCTTGGTTTTATAAGAACTAAACTGTATAATTGACTTGAAATGTAATTTTAAGAAAGATGTTGATATAAGATTATGTATCTAATGCATAAAACCGTAATGATCAATAAAAGAAAAGAAAGATGCTGTTTATGTTAGTTGTACTTTGACTTAAATGAACTTTATAACAGAAACTTTAAACACATGAATTGTTTTAAAGTCTTTTAAAAGTAATTTAATAGTTGAATTCACGAGTAAGTTGAAGCTAGACCAACATGGAAAACCTGGAAGCACTAGAACGATCGTTTCGTCCTATAGTTGGACTCCTCAGCAGTGCGTATCCACGAACCCGCCTCGCGAGATTCGAACACAGGATCTATCAGTCTCGCGCGCGACCGTCTAACTTGTAGATCACTGAGCTGGCCGGTATACAACGATGTTAATGTCTAAATTCAACTAATCCACGCAACTGATTGACACATCCACCATTGTGTTTACTGAGTTACTATCTCACAGCAGACCTAGTTGAATTCCGCTAGTTGCTGATTCTCACTAGAACCCCAGGAAATACCTCTTGGTGATCGTCACTAGTGAGCATATGATGACTATAATGAGAGTGTTATATCCCGACGAGGATAAAGAATGATAACTTCTGGAATCAATTTATGGATCAATACCATACGTATATTTTTATTGTATAATTGTTAAGTAACTAAACTATTCATATTCGTGTCCCTCTTATCATAAGCTTTATTTTGACCTATGAACTGTTATTATACGATTCGGCATTCTTGAGTTACACCCAGTCTATCAAGTACTACGTCCCACATTTACAGGGGTTTTGTGGATATTATAATAATTTAATAGTTGAATTCTTGAGTCAACTGAAGCTAGACCACCATGAAAAACCTAGTTAATCTAAGAAACTGGAATATTGTTTAATTCTAATATCATAGAAGGTTAATAGTGTCTCAACTGACTCAATGTTAACATTTTAGACTCTAAAGCTAGGTAAACTCTAGTTTGAATCCTAAAAGTAGCATTTATTCCCTGAAGATTTGAATACATTCCGTCGGTGATAACCAGATAGAAGAAAATCTAAGTCGAATTTTTTCCTGGCAACTACTTAAAATCACATAGCCTTTCAATTACAGCTTCATGTTAATACATAAACTTGAACAAATACGAAGGTCGGAGGAAGAACGTTGTAAATAGTCTGATGGTTGTTATGAAAATTAGATGTACTTGGATAAAAAGGTTAAATTGTTTTGATTTGTCTAAATCGATTAGGAAAGAGAAGATAATATAATAAGTGAAATGTTGTACTAATACATCAGAAAAGGAATCGGTTACAGTATGAGTCTTGAGTTTATGATTGTTTATCGTTCATCCAAAAAGGAATGATTAATGTTAAGCTTGACTTAGATATGTATTTATTTATTTATTTATTTATTTGAACACATGAATATTGGTACAAGAGAGCGCCAATATATATGCGCCACACAAAACAATGAGAATTCGAAGAGAAGTAGAAAAAAAAAACTAAGGAGCGCAAAAGAAAAAGAGAACAATGACGAAGAGATTGGAGTAAGGTAGTGTGGTAGTAACGACGGAACGAAAAGGTACAATCAGAAGAAATCTTTCAGGTAAAGGAGACACAACCACTTTTTATGAAGAAAGTAAAAGAAGGTTACAGCAGGATCGCCACTGGCTTCTATTCTGAGCCATATCTGATAACGTCTCTAGCCACTGTGTAGCACCATCTCTCGGACCCCAACCAGGGAGTCGTGAAGGACCAACACAAGCCAGTCCTTTGCAGCTTTCTTTCATGCCACGACACCATGTCATGCACTGACCACCTCTCCGCTTCTTCCAACCAGTCCCAGAGTCGGCAAATAATGCACGACGTGGAATTCTCTGGGACGACATTCGGAGAACATGTCCAAGCCACCGAAGTCGGTGTTTCAAGATGGTGACACCAATTGAATTATCATCTCTGTGCCCGAACACACGATGCCGAACCTCTGCATTACTGACATGGTGTTGCCACTGAATGTCAGCAATCCTTCGGAGACAGCGATGATCGAACACAGAGAGTCGTCTAACGTCCTCAACTCGGAGAGGCCAGGTTTCACAAGCATAGAGCAAAACTGCTCTCACCGACGCGTTGTAGATCCGACCTTTTACAGCCAGACTAACATCACGAAGGCGCCAAAGGTGGCCCAGATTGGCATAAGCCGCTCTGGCTTTCACTATTCGTGCATTGATCTCATCACTCACACCCCCACCAGCACTTATGCAGCTACCCAGATACACGAACTTCTCAACTACGTCTATCTGCTCACCGTCCAGGGTGAGTACAGGATTAGAATCCTGCCAGTCTTGTAGAAGTACTTTGCACTTCGAAGGTGCAAAGCACATACCATACCTACGGACACTGATTGCCAACTGATTAAGTGCGGATTGCATGCCTTGGGCATTATCGCACAGTAAGACAATATCGTCCGCATACTCAAGGTCGAGAAGTCTTTCTCCAGGCAACAGATCCACACCACCATTACTTACATTCATCAGAGCTGTTTCCAGAATGTCATCGATGGCAAAGTTGAAGAGGAATGGTGAGATTGGGCAACCCTGCCTAACCCCACTGCTCGAATGGAACAATGGAGAGAGGTGGTTGTATGCCCTCACTCTGCCTGAGGTGTTTTTATATAGGGCTTTTAGGATGTTAATAAACTTCTCAGGCACACCCTTCTTCAATAGACAATCCCAGAGAACAGTCCTGTCCAACGAATCGAAGGCAGCCCTGATGTCAAGAAACACTACGATTGTTGGCCTTTGAAAAGTATGGCGGTGTTCTAACATTTGGCGGAGGGTGAAGATATGATCAATACATCCTCGACCAGAACGAAACCCAGCCTGCTCCTCGCGAGTCAATCTTTCTCGGGTTTTGAACAACCTACGAAGAATGACGGAAGCCAATAGCTTGGACGCAATCGGAAGTAAACTTATCCCCCGATAGTTGTTACAGGAACGACGTGAACCCTTTTTAAAGATAGGGACAACTATCGACTCATTCCATGACGTTGGTACACACTCTAGTTCCCAAACCTTTGTAAACAACGTCGTCAATTCCTTAGTCAAAAAGTCACCACCATCTTTAAAAAGAGCCGGAGGTAAGTCATCTGGGCCAGGTGATTTGTAACGCTTCAAGAGTTGGAGTTCCTTGCGGACTTCCTCCTCATTTGGTGGATCAGTCGTCACCGGCCATGGAGGGCAGGACAGTCTGACCGATGTTGCCGGAGCAGCAGGCCAGTTGAACTGCCCTTCGAAAAATTCTGCCCATCGTCCAAGACGTCGATGGATGTTAGTGATTGGCATCCCATCATCCTCGCAGATTGTTTCACTCACACCAGACTTCTTGCTGCCAGTGGCTCGGATGAGCTGGAAGAGCTTCCGGTAGTTACCAGATGCAGCTGCTGCTTCCAGCTCATTAGCACGCATCGACCACCAGGCTTCTCGGTCCTTACGCAAGCTTTGCCCAATTTCCTTACGTAACATCCTTCGTTTATGGTCAAACTCACGGTCACCCGGAGTAGACCGACGGGCTTCAATGAGTTGTAAGGAACCAGAAGAAACCCAGTGCTTAAAAGCGGGACGTTTCGCAAACCCACAACTGACTGTTCCCGCCATTTTCATGGCGTCATGCAATTGCAACCAATGCTCATCTATACTTTTCGGTGGAGTGGTAGCTAGCCTAGAGGCTAGCTCGGTTCGATACTTACTTGCAACAGAAGTTGCAACCAGCTTGCTAACATCAATCCGTTGATGGCGTTCACTTCGTTGTCCACTGAAAAGTAAGGCAAGATTGGCGCAGACCAAGGCATGGTCAGAGTCCAGATAGGTACTCCAAAAGGAGCGGCAGTCTTGTACACAACCACGCCAGCGGTAGCTGATCGCGATGTGATCAATCTGAGTCCAGGCTTGAGATGCAGAGGGAGGACGCCAGGTGGCACATCGGCGATGACTGTGCCGAAAGTTAGTGCTAGCCAGAAACAGGTTGTGGTCTGTGCAAAGTTGCAGTAGACGGTCCCCGTTATCTGACCTGCGACCAACGAGTCCCCATCGGCCACCTAAACGACTCTCTTCTGTGCCTAGACGCCCGACCTGAGCATTCAAGTCTCCGGCTAGTACTACAATATCTGTCGAACGCACTTTCTGGAGAAGAACTGATAACTGGTGGTAAAACTCATCCTTGATTGCATCCGGGCTGCAATCTGTCGGGGCATAGGCGGAGATGACGAAAAGACATCGTTTCTCACGCCGATTTCTTCTCACTTTGATGGAACTTTCTAATCTAACAGCACATAACCGACTGTTAATGGGGATCCAATCGACTAGTGCTGCCTCAGCTCTAGCGCTTAGTGCGACACCAACGCCAGCAAGACCAGACGAAGATGCCACAGGGTCCCCGGATAAGCGCACGTAAAACAAGCTTTTCGAAGCGACAGATGGAGATCGAATTTGTAGTACTTCGCCAGAGTCTTGAATACGGGTCTCGGATAGACAACACACGTCGATATTAAGACTTTCCAAAGACATAGCCAGCCCTATCTGTTGTCCGACCTGCATAAATGTGCGAACGTTGAAGGCAGCCAGTTTGAATGGTGCACGTGGTTTCAGAAAATCTGCTTCAGTCCTCGTATTCGGTGGTAACATACAATTTTCAACCGGACAGTGACTCGAGAACGTTTAGATACAGTCGGATTTCCACCAAAGACGAGCCGCTGTATAAGTATAAAAGAGGGTGAATAATGTGGAAAATAATAATAATAATAATAATAATAATAATAATAATAATAATGACAATAATAGTAGTAATAATAATATTATTATTAATAATGACAATAATTGTAATGATAATAATCTGAATCAATTGTTTGTTTTTCAAAGCGAGAAAGGTAATTTCCATAGGCATAAAGAGTTCATCAATTTGTGTGTGGGCTGTGATACTGCCCGGGTGCCCAAACCGAAGCAGGTGGTTATCTTAGGGGGCCACTCCCCGAGCCTTTGACCTAAAGGTCTAACCCACAAGGCAGTGGAGCATCGTAAGGAGATGCAGTCCCATGGTAGCCGGTGACCAACGATTGGTTCATACGCCATTCGTTCCCGCAGGATACTGGAGCCCATGTGCACCATTGATTTGGAATCCGGTTAAAGCGCCGGACATTCGCTTTTCGTCCTCTCATTTTCGTAAACAACACCCCCGCCACGAGAAGGCAATGAGTAGGACTTCCCTGGCAGAGGCTGTATACGCGTGGCCGTGTGAGAGTATTTCGAGAGGGAGAGCGGACTCTCCCCACTTAGATATGTACCTTGATATATTGAGACCGCTACTGTAACAATCATTATTATCATTCATTTGTATTGGGTGTTTGAATCTTCCCATTGATGATTAGGACTACAATAGTTCAATCTCTTATCGGCGTATGTACATCCTGTACAGATTGCTTCGATATCGCATTAAGTCACAAGGATTATAAACAGAGATAGATGATGGTTTATAATACTTGTGACTCAAAGTACTTCGCACAGTATACACATATCCCAATAAGAGACTGATAAATTGCAGTCCTGAATGTCAATGAAAGGTTAAAATAACTCATACAAAATGAATAAAACTCCACCCTATTGTATGGGTCAGTGGATATCTGAACTCAATAGCTAATTTGTTAACATAATAACGTTTTAAATGGATGTTACTTGGTTCGAGTCCCATAGTGAACATCAACTCTATTATGCAAGTACATCCAGTTGATGAGTGCAAAATAGGATAAAGCAAGTGTCCTAGATTTTACTGCCTTTAACCACTGTTAACCTATTTCTAAAATATAAATTAACACAATGAGTACAAAATTATAAAGTAATAGTCAATTACAAAGAGGACAGTAAACACATGTATATCAAGTAGTAGCAAGGATACAGCATAATGAACTAATGACAAGGGTTAATCATGTTTATCTAAAAGGCTGGTGCAATACCATGATTCATAGTTACATCAAAAGGGTCAAAATGAAATGTCAGTCAGTCAGTCAGCAACAACGTAGAACTTCGTACATCAGTTCGAGTTGCCATACCACATTAGTACAGAGATACAATGAGCCTTAAGTAATAGGCTATTTAACTCAATTATTATTAGTTGATTGAATCTTATCAATAGAGATTAACACTTTTCCAATTATCATTTCAGTTAGAGACAAAAATTTCCAAACTAAAGTCTACTGATAATGTAACAAATATTGATGTTTTAAAATATTTAAAACAAATACATTTGGAAGCAAAACATCAATTACAATTAATTCAAAGTCAATTAATTGATAAAAACCATCCATATAAATCAACAATGATCCATGAAACTATGACAACAATAGCTAATAATATTGGAATACCATATCCTCCACCGTTACCAAACTTTACTACTACAGGTCATCATATAAAAACACATTCAGCAATAATAACTACCACTAACAACAGTACAACCAAACGAAATATGTCAATAGGAGGAGGAGGAGGAGGAAGAATTGAAAGAAATAACAATGAATTAATTCCTCGAAGTAGATCATGCAATCTGTTTCTAAGGAATAATAATAATAATATCAATAATAATGGCAATAATAAAAACAATAAACTTCTTGAATTGCCTAAAATTATAGAGAAAATATCAGAAAACAATATTATGTATCAATCTAGAAACAATTCTAATATCCCTGATAGTATAAACATAAAAGTTTAGTCTATATCTATACACATATATCTAATGACATTCTTCTCAATGATAGGTAAAAGTGTAAGAATATCACCATGGAGTTCTTTCTCCCCCCCCCCCTTTTTTTATCTTGGTAACATATAATGCTTCGAAGAAATACAGACCTATAAATGAAGAATATTCTTTTTTTATTTTTGATAAATTCTCTTCAATTTCTACAATTCATATTATTTATATTTAATAATCCAAAGAACTTTTCAGGTTTAAGGCAAAATACATCGTTTACGCAATCATAGTATGTGAATTTAAGGTTGTAAAATAAAATAAAATATAATAGTTGGATTCATGAATCAATTAAAGTTAGATCATCATGGGAAACCTGTAAACATTAGATGACCGCTTCGTCCAATATGGGACTCTTCAGGAGTGCATATCCACGATCCTGTCTGCTGAACTCGAAACACAGGACCTATCGGTCTCGCACGTGAACGCTTAACATTTAGACCATTGAGTCGGCATTCAATAGTGTTAATGTCTAACTTCAACCAATTTACGAAATTGAGCTACCTTCCACCATTGTCATCAGTAAGTTACTATCTCACAACAGACCTGGTTGAACTCCATTGATCACAGCTTCTTATTAAATTGTTTCTAACCATATTACATCCAGAATATCAATTTCAGACTCCGCGATATGAATCATATATTTCAAATGTACTTGATTTATATACAAGCCAAACAGACAACATCACACTATAAAATACAAACTAACAGTTGTACAAGATCAAGCCATATGTGACTGTGACTATGAGAGACTGTAAATAATAAATTGCAAAGAACTTGAGAACAGTAAATTTTATAATAGTAGTCAATAGGTCAAACGGAAGCTTATAATGAAGGGAGTATGAATATACATATAATATTCACTTAACGGTCATACAATAAGAACATACATATATTATTTTCAGTTTTATTGTAAGATATCAATTCACCATATATTTAGGTGATATAGATTGGAAATTTGCTTTTAGAATAGGAGATTATCTATAACTTAGTCGGGAATTACAGAAATATCATTTGGTGTCCGTGATACACTGGTGTTAGACACAGTGTCGTGCTGTTGGAGGTATAATGGAGGTTATCACTTCTCAATTGCCTGCAACATGAAAAAACATTTCTTCTTGAAGGACTGAACTGGGTTAGGGTTTGTCTGAAGGAAACACTTGATTGACACCACACTCCGACATCTTCGCTACCGAGTCGTGAGTTGCTGCCTTTATTCTTGCTGCTCTACAACCAACCTGTATGGTATAGTAGTACCCAAAAAGACGAATGTTTCAACCAACAGAGCTCAGTTGTATCATAAGGATATGCAGCGATGTCCTTGCGGTTTGTACACTATATGTTCGATGAATGGCGTTATTTCACATTACAGATTAAAGAATTTGTTAGGTTCGAATGTAATCCAGTGGTTGGGAGTTACATTTTTACGTTATATTGCAGTGAATCAGAACTTAGGTGGATAACCAATTAATTGTTTAGTGAGAAATTACAATGCTTTTGTAAAATATGAAAACCATAAATTAAATACATCTGCCATCAGCTGTCTCTTACAAACTAGATTGTTCCTTCATTCTTGTTGTTATTACAATTACTCCACGTTTACATTTTTGTTGTCTTCAGTTCAATCTTCTCAATCATCTGCCAGTATGCATTCCACTTTTGACTGGTGTTACATACTACTTATATCTGTCAATACAAGTAGCATACACCACAATATGACTAGTAGTAGTGTATTTAAGGAATTAGTATAACAATACAACGACATAAGATATACAGGTTTGTTCTTAAATGTACACCTATAGTACAGACAGTTATACAATTAATTATCTATTCGAGTAATCAATGTCTGGACACAATATGTGAAATACTATTAGATTTTAATTGCTTTTTAGTAACCTGATGAAAAAAAGACCTAACTAAAACAATCTTCAGAGTAATTAATAATCTTTGGAACAAATTCTGACGAATTATGTAACAATCAATCAGTAATTACCAACGTAGAGCTTGGAACAGATATGTGTTAGCCATAATTACCATACTATACAGACTAGCATGATGAGATGAAATTGACAAGATTAATAGTGAGAGATTGGAATAATGTACTGGTAATGACAATCAGAAAGACTATGGAATTAATATTTCATGATGACCGGATTTATAAGTATGCATACACAAATATTGAGATGTAACATTCAAAGAATGATAAAAAGTGAATGTATCTACACTATTATCAACAACTTTGAGTCATGTCACTTAAAGTCCGCAACCAATTATCGCGTTAACTACAACCAGATAGTTTGTAACCGCTAACATGGCTCAGATCAACAGTTAGTGAGTTCGTGGACTGATGTTAAGTTTTGATTCGGTCATCTGTAGTTTTTTTTTGGCTTACTGGTAAACATCTCTAGTCTAAGTACAAGTACAAGATGAAACACATGGCCTAACCACTTCATTCGACGAACATTTACAACTTCATCAGTCAATAAGAAAAAACAATAGAAATAACTTATTGTTTTCATTTCTATTAAATTTCCTTGTCATCAAGATGACGGCTAACAATTCAATCGAAATAAGATGCTTCATGCATCCTCAATATTAGTCCACTGTAAATTATAGACAGTTGTTTATAGTAGAGTATCTGTCATCTTAAATAATAGGGATCGATTCCTATCACTCTTTATAACGATGATATCGAGCTATTTTGAATTGAATCTAGAGGCATAGATACCTTTTCTAGTCGAAATACCTCTTTGATTTTGTGAGAATCTGTCACTCACTCTATTGTAGAAAGCAGTTGGAAATATTCAAAACGTTTGCGTCTGGCTTCTTATAACATTGCGTAAAAGTGAGATAGATAGATCTAGTCTCTGTATAACAAAAGCACGATGTTTTGCAATACTTTACTTCTATAATCTAAATACTTTTAATATCGCTTAAGGTTCGATCATGATTGACTTTTGGGGACTGTTTCGCAACTCCAGAAGTACCACGAACTTAATGTACGGTTATGAAAACGTCTGTCCAAATACAGTAGACTAAAAGCCGGTATAGATAGCTAAAGGGCTTGTGACACCCTGGTAGTTTGCACGTCAAGCATTGTTATCAGACAATGAGACGGATTAGAAACATAAGATTGATTATCTATGACATGGAATCATGAAATCGCTGATTATGTTTGGGTGAAAACTATTGGTTTATCATGCATGTGTCACTTACTAAGCCGAGGTAGTGACAACTGCCTTTAAGTAAAACAAAGTAAGCTATTAATTTTAACAAATTAACGCTGATTATTTTGACGTAGTTTAGAAATACAACCTTATTAATTGAACAATATTTATTTATTGTTTATCTGAACACATAAGTATTGTTACAAGGAGGCCCAAACCGAGGCAGGTGGTTTCTTAGGGGGCCACACCCGGAGCCTTCGACATAAAGGTCTGATCCACAAGGCAGTGGAGCATCGTGAGGAGGTGCAGTCCCATGGTAGCCGGTGACCAACGACTGGTTCATACGACACTTGTTCCTTCAGGATAATGGAGCCCATGCGCACCATTGGTTTGGAATGAGGGTTCTCCAACTGCCCTAGGTGGGTCTTTCATAGCTACCAGCCCAGTTAAAGCACCGGAACAATATAAATATGGACGGTGAAGATGTATTATTTTCACAGTAGTAATGTAGATTTTAGAATATCAGGAAAGTGAAGTTATGTGGTAAATACACTAGTGATAGTAAATAAGAAGTTCAGCACCAAGATAGAAAGAGGATTAAAATAGTTTGAGAAGCTTCACTAAATACCTTCCAACTATGAAAACTTTATTTGGGTAATTATGGAATTTAAAAGCTGATGAGAAGCGATTCAAGTGACCAATACTTTAAAAGAATATGAAACCTTAAAAACCTATCGTTCTTGTAAAAGAATCAACAATGATGTCATTAAGTCAAGTCGATAAAAGAGGTATTACTTAAATGAATATAAAATTCTCGAAACCAGATAAGCATCACTCATAAACATGTCTCATTGACAGAACCAAACTAATTCGTTAATCTTTCCATAACCAATACTAAGTTTATCATCCTAACAACGATCAAAGAAATCAATAGGGCTGTTAAACAAATCAGATAACGTATCAGCTAAAGCACCGAGGTCAGACATATAGGCAACTGCAAAAGATGATCCATGTTCTATTCAGAGAGGTTTGGAAGGAAGAGCGAATGCCGACAGATTAGAAAAGAGGACATTTCATGAAGATACTAAAGAAAGATCTCAACAATTGTAAGAAGTACAGAGGCACCACACTACTATCAGCAAAGCAAGGGTAGAATTCCTACGATCGAAGAACATATGGAACTTAAGACAATTGTTAGTCGAACAACACCCAATTTAGAATTCTCAATACAAACGTCAAAACAGTCCTGTTGTACGGAGCTGAAACGTGGAAAACTACTATAATCATCAAAATAGTATAAGTATTTATGAACAATTGTCTACGCAAGATACGTCAGATCTGTTGATCAGACACCATCAGCTACAACCTAATGTGTGAGAGAAAGAATCAGCTTCCAGCTGAAGAGAAAATCAAGAAATGACACTGGAAATGGACAGAACACACTGGGGAAATGATCAGACTGCACCACGAGGTAATCCCTAACTTGAAATTCCGAAGGGAAATGAGAAAGACGAGGACAAAAGAGCACAATGTGTCGAGAATGTGAAGCAGACACTAAGAGAATGAATAGCACTTGAAAGCAACTGGAAAGGAGAACCCAAGACAGAGTTCAAATTGATTTCCCTAACATTCAATCAATCCCAATAACCACACTGATCCACAGGTTGATCATACAATTCGTCCAAATCTACCTAGATTTCTTCGTATGCAACTCTTTAAAACAGCAGAAACTCTTGTCACTCGTGCTAAAGCCAGAACTGTGAGTACAGAAGAAATGCGTCTTATCCTTATCTTTGATAGTCTGTTTTTCTCGTATTCGAAGGCATCCTCCTGTCTCTTTAACTATTTCTTATATGTCCATGATTTTATTCATAATTGTTCCTGATACAACTTCACTTCATTAGCCTTCTTTATTGCCTTTAATTACTGTAACAAAAATGTTGTAGTTATCGTACTCCATCCATATTATAATCCATTGCCAACTTAATAATTGTATACGGTTGTACAGCTTGATAATAAATTCGTTGATAAGAGATCCCTTCACTGAACTTCATGTTAATAATATTCAAATGGGAATGATATGTCTACATTTACAATTATTTACTTTTGGTATTATACAGTAAAGAACTGCCGGTCAAAAAATACCATCTGGAAACTTTTATTCAGAAAAACTTCATACAACAAACACAAACGTGCTCATGTTTACAAACTTTTTTCTACTATCTATATGTAAAAACAATGAATACACACGTAATTACTTGACTAATCAAGTCAGTCAGCAACAACGCAGGACTTCGTACGCAAGTACATCAGTTCAAGTTTCCATACCATATTACCACAGAGATACAATTATCCATTCAAACCCCATAGCGGTAGAGGTAATAAAAGTACAAACAGTAATCGCGAAGATTATATTTTGAAGATGTTAGTCAAGGAGTATAATCCAGTGAAATAAATTTGGAAAGAGAACAAGGGACACGGAGAATTCAGAAGATTAGAATTTGGGAGAACACAGAGTGGATGCATCTGCACCATTTTGAGCCATATCATTCAAGGTCTCTAATCATCGGTCGCTATAGTCTCGCCGATTCAAACCAGGTACTCTACACCTAGCAACATGGCTCAGTTCACTTGTCAGTGACATCATGGATTTGTGCCATGTTTTAATCTGGCCGCCCTTAGCTTCCTTCCAACCAATTCCTACACCTCATCAAGGCAGTCGGTGCTTGAGTATAACGTAACACATGTCTCAGCCATCTCAACTGACGAAGCTCCCTTGACTAATCAAAAGAGAAACGAAACATGAAGAACACCTCATACACACATATATCTAAACACAAACTCAACCATTTATTTAACTTTAAAAGAATTATATACTGTTTGTCTATATATGCATATATTTTTTTGATATTATAGATTACATTCATTTTTTCTCTTATTTAACTAAAATGGTCCACATATATGTAAATGAAGTTAACACAATTGACCATATGTAAGAATATTCAAGAATCATCGGGAGAATAAACACTTTTTTGAGAAAAAAACATTTCCCACTTGTTTTCTTCCTTCCTCTACGTAACCATTTCAAAATACAGAGCTAGTACACACATTAAATCAAAGGGAAAAAAAGAAAAAGAAGAGAAACAAATACAATTGCATATTGTCTTTTTTTTCTTTAAGAAAAAACACAAAAAGAAACATATTGGACAGACAATTCTAGGAAAAGAGAAATGGAGGGTATAACAAAAAAGAGAGGGGAAGAGAAAAAAAACACAAACAAACAAACAAACAATAAAAGATGTAGAAGAGGATTTGATTACTGTGATGTGCGCAGTTTGTGTGATACTTTATGAAAATTAATGAAAAAGTATGCAGAACACATATACGAACTGTTCTAATAAGAAGCGAATAAAAAAAAAATGAAAAGGCTTTTGATAAGTCTAAAAAGCAAAACTGTTGAATAGCAGCACACAAGTACATATAATGCAACAGTTTATGAAAACTGTGACAGCAAAAATATACTGATGAAAAATACATATTGACAGTCTTCTTTGTTTTTAAAAAAAAACCAAAGATTAGTGCATATCCTCTCTAGAAATGAAATAAGTACTACATAATGTCCATATTTAAAGCGAACAACCTGGGGCATTATCTTGACTGATTTGATTGAAGGAGTCGGTCAATAGCTGCGTTCACATCCCCAAATGTAGCGATCAATGCTGTAGAAAAAATAATAATAAATAGATTGGTTAGTTAAAAATATGCTTACGGTTAAATGTTTTCAGGAAGTTAATTGTAAACTATGGTAAATGAGATAAACAACTACGCAACTGGAAATTATACTAACTGTGAAATAATATTATGCATGTCGAACAAAGTTAGTTATTTATTTTATTTGAACACATGAACATTAGTAAAAGGAGGCACCAAATATGCATGCGCCACATAAATCATTCGATTTATGTGACGGCTAGGATACTGCCCGGGTACCCAAACCGAAGCAGGTGGTTATCTTAGGGGGCCACACCCCGAGCCTTTGACCTAAAGGTCTAACCCACAAGGCAGTGGGAGATGCAATCCCATGGTAGCCGGTGACCAACGATTGGTTCATACGCCATTTGTTCCCGCAGGATACTGGAGCCCATGTGCACCATTGGTTTGTGATCCGGTTAAAGCGCCGGACATTCGCTTTTCGTCCTCTCATTTTCGTAAACAACACCCCCGCCACGAGAAGGCAATGAGTAGGACTTCCCTGGCAGAGGCTGTATACGCGTGGCCGTGTGAGAGTATTACGAGAGGGAGAGCGGACTCTCCCCACTCTCGGCCGTACCAGGGCATTCGGGGGGTCACACCCCGAGCCTTCGACCTAAAGGTCTACCTCACAAGGCGATGGAGCAACATCAGGAGATGCCGTTCCATGGTAGCTAGTGATCAACATTAGGTTCATACGCCATTTGTTTCCTTAGGATCCTGGAGCCCATGTGCATCACTGATTTGGAATCAAGGTTTTCCAACAAATATTTTGAAAGGGTACAGATCAAGATTACTGTATTAATAGTATAGCTTTCAACCAACCAGTAAAAAATATCTTTTTACCTAGACCGAAGTATTCTGAAATAAATTAGTAGAAAAAAAAGTGAAGCACACAAAAATGCATATGCATATAAATCCACTTGATCGACCGACAAAGGGTTATAAAGAGTCATGATCAAAGAAAATGGCAGATTTATAAGAATAATTGGATAGTGATACTCAATTTTTTATAGATTAGTTTAATCAACCTGCAGCTTGATGATTTAACCGTCTCACCAACGCCTACTTAACTGAATTTGAGCAGAATTCTAAGATAGTGTCTCAAATGTAACAAGGGTAATTTTTAGACTAAAAAAAAGGAAACTATGTACGTATATTATAAACCATGATAAGGAAGATATAGTATTTACATATCGCAATATATTAAACGGTTATAAATGTCTAACCAAGAGGGTAGTAAGACAGAATTTTTATGCCTTATAAAATAAATTGATTTACAACTTTTTTTATAAACCTACACATTGTTAGTGAACAATTTACAATTACCTTGCAAATTAGCTTCTCGGTTAACAAAGCCCATATTAGCGAGAACTTCAAGTTCAGCTTGATATCGTTGTTCAGGTGGCTACAAAATTAAAATTAGCAAATTGTCAAAAAGACGTTAAATAAGTGTAGGTAAATTTTATGGATGAATTCAAACGAATAGAAAATTGTAAAAGTATATCTTACAGCATTGTTTGTGGCACCCAATCCACTATTAGTGGTAGACATCATATTCAGCATACTGGATAATAGTGTGGTCAATTCAGCTTGATTAGGTGGATTGGCTGTAGTATCATTGGTACGATCAGCTGTTGTGGAGTCAGAGTTGTCTCCAGGAGCTGGAACTGTTGCCGGGGTCTCTGCAGTTGGGGTTGTACCAGATGTAACTGAACCTGGACCAGTTGGAGGTGCAGACATACCTAAACTAGTTAACACACCTGGGGCTTCTTGTTGCAGTGTCTGAAGTCCTTGTTGGATCTGCATCATAGCCTTTGGAGAAAACAAAACAGTTCAAAAATCCATTTAGTTTGTATATGTTTAGAACCAAAAATACATGATTCAAATCTGTAACAAAAAATAATGAGATTGAAGCTCAGTATATTCTTACAGAACCGATTAATCAACAGTTGACAGTTCATACTCCTAGACGCTTCAATGAACGTACGCTACAGAAGTTGGCAAACCGTGAAAATCGATAAAGTCAAATGTCAACAGCTACTTATTGAATGTATCAAGCAAAGTTTAGCTTATGGGACTTTGCATAGTAGCATACTCGTCGGTTTTTAAATCTTGAAACATTAATACACTTGAATCACTTTCCATTTAACGAGTCTAATATTTGGTTAGGAACGTTACAGTTAGTAAATGTTTGTGTATTTACCAAAAATATTTCATCATGATCAAAAAATAGAAGTTCTGGCCAGTTGCTTAGCTACACTTCGGGGTCACTTAGGACCGCACATGGAATAGATATCAGAAAATATGTTAGGAAAAAAAGGGAAGGCTATATTTATCACATGAGTTAATTAGAGGAAATAAATATTAAAGGGAACTATATATTTGTCCTCAGAAATTTACAATGTAATTAAATTAATATGTAATGTAACTATGTTGTATTAACACCGCTAGATACCATTTCACTATTCGAAAAACAATAATTGACAGATGGATAAAAAAACATGATTATTTAAGTGTAGTATCTGAATATTTAATAGAATAAAATATAAATATACTAAATTAGGTTATTCGGTATATTGTGGAAACACCTATTCTACAGAATTTCCTAATTGGTACAAAATAAAAACGTTAACCTTTCCAGTTAGGACTATCAACTGAACTATTGAGTATAAAAATCTAAGAATTAAAATTATGACATGTAATAATTTTATTGCATTTATTCGACAGACAGATGCTTAGTAAGAATACACGTTAAGGATCTATAATTAATTCAGACTATATTTTACGCGTGCATGAAGTTAGTATTTGAGTGTACATTCTTCAAACATGAAAATTACTAAGCATTTTTGTGTACGAATTGAGTTTAGTAATCAAACTATAAACTGCCTATTGATTCGATTGTTACAAGATGAAGTAGTAGGTGATGAAATATAAATGATGATATGACATAGAGCTGATCATAATTTAAAAGTGTAGTAAGGGCACTGATTTCATATTTATTCATTCAGTAATCTTTAAAGCTTATAGACGTGAGACAGTTATCCACATCTTCACTTAGATTAAGTTTAGGTAAACTTAAATTCGTTAAACATCCTTTTAATTTAATTCATGATTATGAGTAGTTCATCCTTTAAATTTCAGTTTTGAAATGTTCCGAAATGAAAAGCCATATAACTAGGTATACGGTAAGTAAGCTCAATGTTATTGATTCAACTTATTAGACATTTTCAGTCAGTTAGATTGACATTTTACCCACAAAACAAGTCTATATCACATCTGGTTCATAAAATTTACCACTTTGGTGGAGTAGAATGTGTAGTTCTTTTACCTATTCAGCATAAAATGAAGAGAAAATGTTTACCATGTAAGAGTACCCTTATTAAGGACACCTTAATGTGTATGGTAAGGGTCAAGTATACATACATATTTATAAGACTATATTGCAGATAGAGATAAAATTGCCCAATTGTAATTAATCGGAATCTATGCAAGACAGACGCTACATAATGTACCCAACATTATAAAAAGGATAAAGGGATAGTCAAATCATCAAAAAATTTGTACAAACATGTGGATAACTTATGAATAAATCAACTGATATCGAGATTACAACCGACTGGTATAGATATTGTGGAATACACATATAATGGAAGATAGTTGATAAGATAAACAACCGCTTTATCAGGGTATCTTCACTTATAAATACGTCACACAATATCAAAAAAAACATAGTACAGTAACTTTTGGGTGTCTTAAAGAAAAGGTTTTACATGTGTCTGGAAAAAATTAGGTTGGTAGAACTTAGCGAAACACATTTCAAATACTTAGCCAGCATATATCAGTGCTATGTTTTGTCCATATTAGGTCAAATATTTTTCAGGTGGCCACAATACGAAAATGATCCATTTATGAGTGCAATACCGTAATGATGTTTCCCCACAGGATTTCTGAAGGGAAAAGGAAAAGAGGAAGACCAAAGAACACATTGTGTCGGGAATTGGAAGCAGAAATGAAATGAATGAGTAGTAACTGGGAAGGATTGCTCAGGACGGAGTTGGATGGAGAATGCTGATGAGCGGCCTATGCTCCTCCACAAGGGGCAACAGGCGGAAGCAATGATTTTTCAATACAAGCATGATAAGAGGAAAGTGGCAAATAAATCTTAGTTGACTAAAATTATTTATCAATAAATCTACATGTAAACATGTATTCCAACATTATTATTATCTGGAGAATTGATAAGCTATTTATTGAATTCTGAGTGAGAGTACAAACATGTTCGGACTATTTCAAAAAGTTTAGCTAAATGATATGGTGAGCCAATCAGAGGTGGCCAAACGAGAAGGTCAATCGATGACAAAAGCAACCTGAAGGACAAGTGCACATCAGTGGTTAGAAAATGGATTGATCTAAGGAATAGAAATGTATATATAAATGAGTATTTGTGCACATTATTGGGTAGTTCAATATGCTTTCTCGTACGCTCTTGTGTTTTCGTTCAAGTAGTCAGGTGGGAAGTTAGCATATAACATATCGTGTATCAATATCAGATCTCGGACGCCGCCCATAATAATTTATCAGTAGTTAATAGGCTTGGAATATTTTATAATCAAAGTCACTGTGATTTGAAATTTATCAGTTTACCTTCTGGTGTACATGAGTAGCAAGTTATATATTTACGTAAAAAGTGATTACAAATATTTTAATTTCAATAAATTATTAATTCCCTGAATCATAATAATAAAAAGCAAGATTATTGGTATTTTAAATAATAAAGTCTATGTTTTACTTGGAGAGCACGAGGATTTGATAACATGTTCATAAATGATGGTTGATTGATCTGGTTAGCTAATTGTGGGAGCATTTGTCGCATTTGATCACGTACATTTGGATTAACGCTAGAAATCATTGGATTATTCATGATTAGATTTTCCATAACTGAAGGGTTTGCACTCATTGCTTCAAGCATGGCTTGCACGTATGGAACCTGCTTAGTACAACAAACGTCAAAAAGTTATTCAGTTTTAGGATTACAAATAATTCAATGGTCGTTGTTTAATAACACGGGGAAGTTACTATTATTCACTGAGTAACCGACTACAAAATCTTGAGCATTCGAGGACATTACAAGACTTTTGTTTATGAAGTGGTTCTGATAATCTTCGTCTTCTTATTACATTATCGAGTTTTACGAAGTCGTTATTAAAATAATATTTTCTTGCATAATCAGTTTCAATGAATTATTTTGCATTTTATTTTTGTTGTACACTTTACGTACGTCATTTATAACCATTTTAGTGTAAAAAGATAAAAATTTCTTGTTAAAGTTATAATTCTAATTAATTTTGAACATCGATCTCATATCACTAGGATTTTAGTCTACTGACAAAAAACGAGACAGTAAACGTTACTGTCGTTTATACCGTGATAAGTAAAATAAGTTAACTTATTAACCAACTACTTGATTATGAGCAGTACTTTAAGTGAGAGAACTACTGGTACTACTCGGTTACCTAAAATGAAGTAAGCGAAGAGGGATTCGAAACTGGAGTTTAGTGGCTGAAAGAAAGACGTCTCAACCATTAACTCACCATTTATAAGACCATTATTTCAATTTCGTTTGGCAAAATTCTTGTTAATTTCCCCTCGATATGATATGATATAGTGACATGGGTTAATTTACTTTTATGTAAAGTTCTGAATTTCACCAATAATGGGATTATAATAATTTCTATTACTCAAAAATAGTACACTGGCCAAATCAAACTTTACAGTAAGTAGGTTAAGATTGAAAAGAAGTTATGAAACTGGTGAATAAGACCAGGTCACTGGGGCAGATGAGACGATTGTCTTTCTTACATAACTTTACGATATTCATACTTTTTAACCTCCAGAGCCCTATGGAAGTTAGAAGTATGATGTTTCCACAGGAATCTCAAACATTTGATTCCCTTAATAAAATTTGTGCTTTTAACTCAAACATTAACGAAAAACACGATATAATTCCTATTGAATAACAATTACTACATATACACCCACCTGAAAAGCATTCGATACCAACTCAGGACTAGAAGATAGTTGGTTTAGCATAGTTTGCACAAAATCACTGTTACGATTTGAATTCGCCGAACTAGGTGCTGTTGTAGTATTGTTATTTGTAGATGAGTTGTTTGTAGCTGGAGCCCAAGGATTCGGCATAGGTTCAGTGGCAGGAGCACCTTGTCGCACACCACCTAAATAATCCAGGAAAATATTTGAAATATTTAACTAGTCATTTAACGAAGCATAACAGAAAGATACCAGTAGTTTATTAACTAAATTATGAAATTTCGATCGAGCGATCAACTGACTTACAGATAAAAACATAAAGCTATGCAAATGGATACATACCTGCTAAATTTGCGAAGGGATTTTGCTCCGAATTGCCATTTGACTGATTACCGCTTAAGCTGGAGCCAATGCTTGAGGCTGCATCCATTATTGGTTCTTGGATATCCCGAAATATCCGTTGCAAATGATTCATTCCTCCGGGTACCGACTCCAGATTGGAAATCGCTCGGTCATAGTTACGAACCATCTCCTGCATCATAGCCGGATTGCGGGCTATCTCCATGGACTGTCGAAGAAGATCTGGATTGTTAAGCATATGTCCTAACTCAGGATTGCGCTAAAAATAATGACGGTAGTATTAGTTCAACTGAATGAACGTTAAGAAATAGAAAATTAATATTCTAAGACTATTACCCTTTACTTACTTCAATCAAATCACGCATTTGAGGATTCGCTTGAAATAAACTTCTGATGACCTCTGGATTGCTCATCAAAGATTGAACAAGAGGACTGTCTAGCATGTTGCGAAGAAGTTCGGGATTCTGCATCACTTGAGCCTGCATAGCTTGTTGCATACCGGCGAAAGTGTTCACTATGAATACAAACGATGTTTTGTTAGTTTAAATCTATCTATGAATGATAAGGTTTAAAATATCTTACATCTTTAATTTTAATTTGCAGTCTATCTGAAAGTCAAAGATATTGTCATTAATATAAATGTACTACTAAAACGAATGAGAATTGAACTCAGGGATCAGGTCTTAATTTTACTGGCAGATGTGACATGCTAAACGTGTCGTACGACCACTTATATTTGGTTAAAAAAAAACCTTGTTTTTGGTATTGTTATCTATATATGTTGATCTAGGGGTTTACGTCAATGATTTGGCTTTGTGAGTAAACAATCAACTATATCGTACAACTGCGCGTCCATTGATCAGAATCATGTTCACCGTTTTTATAAACAAAAGTACGTTTGTAACATTATATTTTCTCCTTAACCATACACCAGCAAGCCCTAGCTGCTAACCGAGAGCGAGTCAAAACTTCCGATTACCACGTATCTGAGAGCGACTTCACCTGTGATACTACTTACTCGCATTTGGCAGAGAAAAGGAGGAAAACACAATAGAGCAAACTACGGTAATGATTGTATGATTACAGCTAACTGATGGAGTTAGTTTCCGCTGTTTCTGTGCAAGCTTCAGGAAGAAAATATGTGCGCTGTGAACCGCTGGGACGACCAATCCAATCCTTATGTTATTACTTAGAAAACCGTCGAACATCATCTATTCATCGGTCATTTGATTTTAACAAAATATACGAGAAACAGAAAATGGAGAATATCCTGATGAACGTGAGTAAAAACAGGTTTACAAGCACAAACCTGAGTATAATGCAACAAATTAACGGGACGCGAATGTTGAAACTGTCTCGAATAGACTGAGTAGACAAACGATACGTAAACATCCATTTAGTGGAGAAAATGAGAGCTCATATCTAGTCAGTCAAATAGCCTACATATCAGATTAATAACCAGTAACTTCATGGGTAAAAAGCTTTTACATAAGATATGGTTTGGAATAATTAGCCTTTGTGACACCCATTCAGATCACTAGTACAATACAATTGACGAACTTCGTTAGGACAAACACACAGGTCTAACCTTTTCTACAAAGGTTATCATAAAAACATTCTTTCGAAAAAGCCTAGGAAGTAGTTGAAAAATTTTTTTAATCGCTATGTTTATTTATTTATTTAAACACATAGATATTGGTACAAGGAGACACCGAATACATATGCGCCACACAAATCTCATTCGATATGTGTGAGGACTGTAATACTGCCCGGGTGCCCAAACCGAAACAGGTAGTTTTCTTAGGGGACCACCTCCCGAGCCTTCGACCTGAAGGTCTGATCCACAAGGCAGTGGAGCATCGTAAGGAGATGCAGTCCCATGGAAGCCGGTGACCAACAATTGGTTCATACGTCATTTATTCCCGCAGGATACTGGAGCCCATGTGCACCATTGGTTTGGAATCCGGTTAAAGCGCCGGACATTCGCTTTTCGTCCTCTCAATTTCGTAAACAACACCGTGGTGCGAGAAGGCAGTGAGTAGGACTTCCCTGGCAGATGCTGTATACGCGTGGCCGTGTGAGAGCGTTTCGAGAGGGAGGGCGGGCCCATCCCACTCTCGGCCATACCAGGGCATTTGGTGGCTAGAAAGTCACAATGTCAATAGACACCAACATTTTACCGGGTCATAACTCTATGAGCGCTTTTCAATACTAACGTATATTCATCCATGATGGGGCTTTCTGTTAAATGATAGTCCAGACTATAGGATAGATGGATCAACAAACTAAAAATTTCGGTTGGGGGCATATTCATCTATTCATTCATGACAATCTTCGACTAACATGGACACAACACACCGTAGACGCCTTGACGGTTTCAGAATGATTTTTTACCATAACACATTTCGGTATTGATGTATCAACACACCTAAAACTAAACTACATTGCCCCCCAAATGCCCTGGTACGGCTGAGAGTGGGGAGAGTCCGCTCTCCCTCTCGAAATGCTCTCACATGATCACGCGTATATAGCCTCTGCCAGAGAAGTTATACTCACTGACTTCTCGCACCATGGTGTTGCTTACGAAATTGAGAGGACGAAAAGCGAATGTCTGGCGCTTAAACCGGGTTGGTGAACATGGAGAGTCCACCTAAAGGAGTTGGAAAACCCTCATTTTGAACCAATGGTGCACATGGACTCCATGATCCTGAAGGAACAAGTGCTGTATGAACCGATTATTTGTCACCGGCTACCATGAGACAGCATCTCCTTATGTTGCCTTATTGCGTTGTGGATCAGACGTTGACGTCAAAGGCCGTGGGTGTAGGCCCCTGAGAAAACCACCTGCTTCAGTTTGGGCACCCGGGCAGTATCACAGCCCTCACACATATCAAATGAGATTTGTGTGGCGCATACGTATTTGGTGCCTCCTTGTACCAATATGTGTTAAAATAAATAAACAATAAAAATGGTAATTTGATGTAGGAAATGTTTTTGTTAACGAATCTGGTGAAAATGAACATAATAGTTCCTTGCCAGCCCTATGGTGTACATGTGATAACGGGACAAATAAGAACAAATGACTCTAGTCAGACTGTTATATATATATATATATATATATAGTTACGATAGGAGGGATGATACCGACCTACAATAAGTTTCGACCCACACTTGGTGTACTAGTTATAATTCTAATTTTTTTTCACTTGCAAGAAGTTCTGATGCATTTAACATTGAGGTTGTAAATAACAAAACACGTACATTGAAGAGACATGAAGGTGAGGAGTAATCATGCAGCTACATGAACGGGTTATTTCTGAGAGAAAAATTGTTATCCGAGTATATGGGTAAGTCTGCTGCATGCGGAGTAAAGGTAGGTACTACTAGATAAAATATTCAGAGAGGCGGACATTACATCAAAGAAAACTCGGTAAGATCAGTGTATGAAACTTACCACCAGTAGCACCAGTTTGTGATGGATTACTTGGACTTCTACTTTCTCTTGGTCTATTGCCCACATCCGTTACAACTGAAGAGGTTCCTGTTGGGTTTACCTGGGAGGGCTATAATCTACTCAAACTTAGTTTTAATAAAACAAACCTGTTGTTGTTTCTGCAAGAATAAGTATTACCACAAATCGTGAACCTACCGAAATCACCAAATGGATAATAAACCCATCCTTGATTTTCAGTTGTTCAATAGTATCTTCATCTTTAAGAATCTTGCCTCCAAAAATCAGAATGAGTCTTTCTGATGGAGTCTCGAACGCTTTTGATGCTTCATCTCGAAGCTGCAATAAGATTAAGATACACTCATGGTAACGAAAAGACTACCTCTTTAACTGAACATGAACTAGGGACGGAAACTGTCTTCTCCCCTCGAGGAGCTTTGATTCGCAGACTGAAGTTTGACATCACTAATCTCCGGATTCAAGTGTAGCGCTGTCCAACACTCTCCATACAGTTATAACAATAATCGAATGAACTGTTGTTCTGTTGATGTTCTTTAGTGATCGCATGAGTTGAAACTCTGAAATTCTATTCATTCGACCACAATAATTGAGAATTGTAGAGATTGTATCCATATAACACAATTCTGAACGAAATCTTACAAATAGATGGTGTGTTCTCATGATATTGGATAATGTTTTGAATGTGCTCTCCTGTTGGAAGTGAACACTGTGACTTCCTCAGTCAGTGTATCGTTTCAAAAAAAGCCCAAAGACAGAAGTTTTTAGACAACCTCTAGTTTGGGTGTAAATTCCTTTAGTCGTTCATCATAAGTGACTTTCATGTCAACGAACAGGGCATTCAACATGGTCGGAGCACTAAAAAGCTTGATTCCAAATCTCAGAGCATGACTATGAAGCAAATCCAATATTCTCCGAGATCTCACAAATACACTCTTCCTCTTTAATGTCTCCCATCAACACGGTGCCCAAATACTGTGGAACTGTTCGATCAAATTTAGAAGGAAGTTCTTATACTTCATTTGCTACTCTTTTTAACGAAACTCCTCTTGGAGTTGCAGATGCGGTACATGTACATTACTAATATTAATCTTAAAACTGTCATTCACTCTTCACAAAGATCTTCGTCTAAACGGGACAAATAGATTCACAAGAGTTGTATGCTGAGTTGTTGTAAAACATCGAACCTAAAATGAATCCAGCGTTTTATAGTAACATGTCGATCACAAAGTTTTCATAACTATAGAAAAAGAGCATTTTTTCTTTGTGGCGTCTATATGACACGGCATAAGATCTGACTCAGTGTGTTTCCATGGAATTTTGCTTGTTATCTAGGTATTTATTGAAGTCGTTCAAAAACAAGCACTGAAGTTAGCAATCTCATACAAAATTTTATACTTAAGAGCGAAACGCTTATTTATCCGCATGGTAAGTTATTGCACTAAGAGGTAGAATGACACTATTATCAAGGAGATGATTCATTAAAGAATTTGAACCACAATACTGGTTTTGTGCTGACATTTATCTGCTGTTAAAAATTACTAACATTTTACGATTAAAATGTATTACAGCCAGTCATATTATCTGATGAAAATAGGCTGTCTGAAACTATTTTATTCTATCCTGTATCGCATAATGACAAAATGAACAGATGATAGATTTTTCGATGAAGGCAACTGGGTTTATTTGTTTGTAGGATTATGGTTTAAGCTCGTTATTTGTACTGCTTTAATAATAGACTTAGTCCTAAAATTGTAGATATATCATGATTTATGTAATGGAGAGAAAAAAGCACTTCGTTGGACAGTACTGTCGTTTATTTGTTTCTTACCTTTGTTACCTACTTCTGTTGCATGTTGCCAGAATATTGGTAATAAGGCCGTGTTTCATGTCAAGGGTAAAGGGAACGTTATAAGCAAGCTGTGGTTGACAAGGTGATGCCGTAAGAGTCTGCGTCTGCTTCACTTGCAGTTGACACTCCTCAAAAGGACTGGATCACAATGATATCTAAGGATTTAGACCTACCATAGAGAGAAATCATAAGCTTCATGCAATTGGTTCCCTTTATGAATTTAAATAGAGCAAGAACAAACATTGATGCAGAATAGTATGAATTCATATTATTTCGAGGTTTCTCGTCAGCTGCTTACAAACCAAAATTGTGATAGAATTTTACATGGAGATAGTGTGAAACAATTGACATAAATGAGTGTAAATAACTTGATTACAATAATAACTATATATATATATATGCTAGAAACAGGTCAGAGGTCAAAAGAGGGGGGTTAATCCAGGGTGGGTGGTGTAATAATTTAGTGAAGTTCACAAATTGTGTGATAATTGTAGAGATTAATGGAATTAAATAATGATAAGGTAGATTACGTAATAATAATTAAATAGGGTTTGGAAAGTTAAGATGATTTAAGAGGATCAGGTGATGGAAATGTGTGAATAAAATTTATTTAAAAAATTAGGTAATAGGGGGTATAAATTATCTCAGAATAAGTAAAGGAATAAAATAACCAAAACACAAAACAAACAGAAACAAAAAGATTACCAGGGTAGTGATAAGTTTATTAAAGTCTCTTTTTGGATGCATAAGTCCGGTTTCAGTTTCTTAATTGCAATGGATTCAGCAAAGCGGAGAGTGGTAGTAGTTTTTTGTCTATTGATGATTTTAAACGCGCGCATAATATCGACGGTATGCCCGGTGTCAAGTAGATGCCGAGCTATTGCACTGTTAAAAGCTTTAGTCCCTCGCAGCGTCAAGTTCTTCGGAATATGCTCAGAAATGCGAACCTGTACTCTTCTCTCAGTTCTTCCAATGTATGTGCTACGGCACGTACATGTGAATTGGTAAATGCAGTTGGAGCAACTGAGGGGAGAGGACTTGTCGATTTTCGTTTGTTTCAGTGAGCAGTATGTTTTCCATAACGTAGTTAGTTTGGCTGCCGGGTAGGTCACTTTTAAGGCGGAATTAATTCTGTGATTGATAATTCCGGCGACTTCATCTCCTTTAAAGCGTAAGGATAGGAAGCAGGTTTTCTTTTCAACTGTATCATGCTTAATCGGAGGGTTTGTATTAGCATATTTGTGGATGAATTTATCCGGATATGCATTTTCACGTAAGCATTTGGTGATTGTAGTAATTTCTTCTTCGAGGCATTCTTTTGAGCAGATTTTTCGTGCGCGGTCAAAAAGGTTTCGCACAATACCCTTTTTATAACTCAATGGACAGAAGCTATTAAAGTTGAGATAAACTCCGCTCCAAGTATTTTTGCGGTGAATGTGTCTTTGTAGTGTGCCATCTGGTGTTCGCCTAATTCCAATATCTAGGAAATGGAATTTATCATCAACTTCATGTTCCATGGTAAATTCTATATCTTTGTGGACTTTATTGAACAGACTAAGTAGGTACATGGAGTGTTGGTGATTTTTGCAGACAAGGAACGTGTCATCCATATATCTGCAGTAGAGTGTGGTACTGTCGATTGCGTGCTTCAATTTCTTTTGTTCCAGATGTCCCATAAATATGTCGGCAAGAATTGGGCCTAGAGGGCTGCCCATTGCTATTCCATCAATCTGTCGGTACAGAACATTGTTGAATTTAAATTGTATGTTTTTTGTACACAAAAACAGGAGCTGTTTAAATTCCTGGGGTGGTACCTAATTTTTTTAAATAAATTTTATTCACACATTTCCATCACCTGATCCTCTTAAATCATCTTAACTTTCCAAACCCTATTTAATTATTATTACGTAATCTACCTTATCATTATTTAATTCCATTAATCTCTACAATTATCACACAATTTGTGGACTTCACTAAATTATTACACCACCCACCCTGGATTAACCCCCCCCCTCTTTTGACCTCTGACCTGTTTCTAGCATATATATATATATAGTTATTATTGTAATCAAGTTATTTACACTCATTTATGTCAATTGTTTCACACTATCTCCATGTAAAATTCTATCACAATTTTGGTTTGTAAGCAGCTGACGAGAAACCTCGAAATAATATGAATTCATACTATTCTGCATCAATGTTTGTTCTTGCTCTATTTAGAAATCATAAGGTTTGGTGGTGATCCTGTGAACTAATGAAGTTCCGTGCGTAAACTAGAAGACTTTCGATGAATGTGTTGGATCCCGATCTAGGTTCAACTACTTGATTCAGTATATTAATAGTGAAGCTAAGGCTGCTATTATCCATTGCGCATTCCCATCATGAAGCATTGAAGTATAAGTTCAGAAATACATCTTGGCCCATGTATTTATTGATAAGATGCTTAACATCAATTATAACTTTTAGGTTTGTGCCCCTATCAGTGTATAACGTAATGACACTGCAAATTAGAGAACAGTGATCTATCGACTGGTCCAATGACGCATGAAACCCGAACGAGCAGTCTAGAGTCCTTGTCGGTCCTTCTCCCTGCCTAGTCCTATCTGTTAAGTTCAGAACATCAATCTCAGCCTCTACGATATGAATCATGTCTTTCAAACATACTAAGTTTATAAACAAACCAACCAGAAAACTTAGCACCATAAAATAGGAATTAACATTTTTACACGATTTAACCAAAAGTGGCTGTGAATGTTGGATATAGTAATTGCTAGACTGGACATAACTCAGGAACGGTAAATGGTATAATAGTGGTTCATAGGTCAAAATAAAGCTCGTAGTAAGAGGGACATGAATATGAATAGTTTATTAACAATCCTACGATAAAAAATATGTGTATAGTATTAGTCCATAAATAGATTGCAAAAGTTATCACTTAGTATTCTCATCGGGATACAACACCATCTCTGGTATCAAGGTGAGTAATCCATATAATTTAAGAAGACTATCTCGCAAGATGCAGGTTTGTAAGCTAACGCAGAGGCGGATGAACTATGTATGCGATCCTAATTATACGAAGTCCATCGAGATTATATCTTTGAAACTCCCACTATATGTACGAAGATAATGGGTGAAAGTGACATGTAGAGTCCTCAAGATGGATAGAGGGTCGTAATTTACAGACCTTTGTGAATTTGTGAAAGAGCAGTCGCATATTGATAATACCAGGTATGTATTGCTTGTCAATGGAGATTCCCCTAATCGTAACCAAAGGCAGTCGGCTGTTGTTACTAAAAGAAACCTTTATTAACATTGTAGGGCGAGAGAGTCGTTTTCCAACACGAGTGGGTCTGACGTCACTTCCTTCGTAGGGCCAAACACTTAGGTTGTCATATTTATTATGTACTGAAAACCACCCCCAGACAAGTGTGAAAAGTTTAGAGACGAGGATATTAATGAAAGGACAGAGTTTGTACTGAAGAAGTTGTGTAATATCCGTCTGAAAGCGAACCATATGGCGAGAAACTGTCAAGCACCGAGGTCATGGTCCGTCGAAGGATGTGACTGAGGACACCATATCTTGTTACACCACAGGAGGGAAGAGCAGAAAGACATG